GTATCTAGTGCCATATAACCAGGTCACGCCACAGCAAACAGGGATAAATGATGAACACGATGGAGAGGTAGGACGGGAAGTGGGGAAGGGTGTTTGTGGGGTGGGAAGCGAATAGAATGAATTTGGTTTTAGTTCTGGGAATTAAAGAAGGGCTTCCTTGTCTCTGAAACCATAATCCAGAATAGGATCCAATTGGGGCAAGTAAACTAGGATCTGTCAGTTAGAAAACGTAGGAACCTAGGGAAAATTACTATTACATTGAAGACTTGGGTATAGGGAGGGTTTTTTGTTTTGTTTTGTTTGTTTGCTTCCGAAAGGAATGAGAGCTCCTCTCATGGGCAAAACCTCCTTCCCAGACCAGTCACAAAAAGCACCGTGCCTACAGATGCCTGCTGGTTGCCATGGTGAATGATGCTGATCTGAAGAGATGAACCGTGTGAGCGTTGGGGGCGACAGTGGGATTACTCAGTGGTGAGAGAGACATCCAGGAGAGCTCGGAGTGGAGGAGGAAGAAGGGACCATCCTCTCAGCTGGGGTCCACCCCACCGTGGCGGGCACAGCTCTCACCACATACAACGCCAGCAGCAGGTAAGACTCGCCAAAGGCTCTTCTCGGAAATGAAAATGCAAAAACAGTTTTTCCTTTTTATGCTCTTTTGAGGGAAGGGCCAGGTGACGATAAATGATTAGCTGAGAACTGGAGGAGGGTGGCTCGACACAGAAGCAGAGGAAGAAGAATAACTAAGGGTGTTGGATTTGGTCTGCCAGGCTGAGGACGCTGCTGGCATTGCGACAGGAAGCTCTTAAAAATGTCTGCTGCAGGGAATTGAGCCTCCAAGGCCAGTCAGCAGCCGCTATGAGGCAAGTGGAAGAAGAGGCTGGTGCGCCATAAGAAATGGACTTCTGATTACTCCTGCTGGAAGGGCTTCCAGAGGTGGCCGCCAATGCATCACCAGTAGCGGATGAAGCGCTTACATTGCGATCAGAAGTGTGCTGGTCGGGATAAGCAGGGATCATGGAGTGTAAACTCCATCTTCATCGCAGTGTCTCCTCTGCAGCTTGGGCGCCCCTCTCTCTCCTCCTGCATTCTCCATTTTCTGGGAGGAGATGTCCAGCTAAGGGAGAAGGAGCCATTCCCTTTCCGGAGGATTTTAACCCCTGGTCTTTCCGAGAGAAGGGAAACATGGATCGGAAAGCGATAAGGTGTGGTAGGGCTTCCTGTAGCTCCCCTCTCCCAGGAAATGGGCACACAAATGGGATCTGGGCAGACACAGCAGACACACAGGCAGGCCCTCTAGGAATCCGTGAAGCTTAATGCCCGGTTAGGGTTAAACTCTGATCAACTGCTTGTTGCTATGCCACTGTGATATAACTAAAGCTTCTGTGTTCCATGTTCGTCAACACACACTGGGGGAGGTACAGCCATCCCTGGGTTTCTGATCAGGAAAGATTCAATGGAGAACCGTATCTCTCCAAATAAAAGAGCAAATATGAAACTTGAAGCTGGCACTCTCTTAGCAAAGTGGGAGGGCTGACAATGTGGAGGGGGTGCATTTGATGGTATGGAGAAACACACACACACAACTAGAGCTTAGCCTGTGCGCTTCATACTGGGTTACTACACCCAGCAACCTGGTGTTTGAATGTGTATAGTGGTTAAATGGCCTTGTTTTTAACCTTGGTTTGCTCATCTATAAAATGGCAAGGAAGGATGCGAGAATGAGAGAAATGTGTTGTAGTGTTTGCAGCATCTAGCAAGATCTTGTGATGCAGACACCACTGGGCCTCTGGGGTGGTTCTCATTGTTCTTAATGTTCACAGAACCAGGAGTAGAAGCAGTTATGCTGGTCCTAGGAGCTGATTAGTTTGACCTGTGGAACTAATGTCTTTTGGAAACAAAATAACACAGGAAGAGCTTCTGGGGGGCCAGAATCAGCTGAATGATGGGCCAAAGCTCTACTCTGCGCAGTGAAGCTAGGTGCGTTAAGAAAAGGCAGCGAGGAGAATGTTCTAGAACTGAGCTCACAGTACTTGGAGCAGAAGCACTTGGTCAGCAAGGGCAACTACAGGTGAAGCAGTTGCCTTAGAGTAGGTGACAGACCTGTGTGGGCTACAGCGGGGAATTTCTGAGGTCTTACTGAATTTAGCTTTTGTTTTTTCTTCCTCCCCAAGGGAGGACAGTGTTCTCTCTAAAGGCTCTGAGCCAGGTGGGAGCCGCTGGGCTTCTATGGGTGAGTCCTTAGGAAGCCAGTAGGCCCTCAGCTTGGACATAAGACTTCCTTGCTATGCTTAGCAAACTCACGTCATTTGTTGCCTGTGCTTGTTTGTCTATAAGACTGCGATTCTCTTAAGAGTCTCAAAAAGCAGTAGGTCTGATTGTCATACATCCACTCGGGGAGGTGACGCTTGGCTGTGATTCTGGTTCCAGAATCGGGATGAACATCGAGGTTGGGAACGTTTCCTATACAGGAGCCATCATCTCCTGGTCGTCCTCGGAGCCCTGCCTGGAGGACTATTACCATGTTATGTACAGGCCCAACTGGAACAGCATCTTCTCTGGCTATCTTCGCTACAGCTTCCATCACGAGGAGAAGGTGCCTCGAACCATCAGCTCGGTGGTGCTGGAACACCTCGCGCCCTCCACGCTCTACTTCCTGTGCATCAGCTGTAAGAAGGCCGCCTTCCCTTACAGGCACTACTGCACCATGTTCCATACCCTGGATAAGACTCCGCTGGCCCCTGGAAGCACCCTGCTGGATCCTCAAATCTCCCTCTGGGTGCTGATGGCCATCCTGCTGGCTTGCTTCACCGCCGTCTTGGCCTTCATCTGCCTCCAGTTCTGGTGTATCCGCTGCCACGAGCCTCGATGGTCTTACAGAGCCGGCCACATGGAGGAAGCCAACGGGTTGGTGAGATGGCCGGAAGAAGCTCCAGCTCTGGGTCAGCGGGAGGATGACCTTCAGGGACTCCCCCTGGTGGAGCTGCCTCGCAAGAACTCTGGTGCTGCAGCTGAGCCACAACCTGATGCTCATCAAGAGGGCCCTGCGGAGGCTAGAGCCTTCCCGGAGGAAGGTGCCAACCGACCTGCAGTGCTGCCCCGCTGTGGGGAGTGAGACGCAGGAGGGCTGGCCCCAAGCCATACGGCAGGGCTTTTGTTAAAAAAAAAAAGTGTCTGTACTCCTGTGTCTATCCTCTCGTGTTAGTGCCTCGTGGGTCCCCTAGTTCAGGGGAAGGCTGAAGGCAAAGCTACCCAAGCCAGAGGACGCATATTTCACCCTGTGTGCCAAAGCTCAGACAAGCGTTTCTGCAGTAGTATACGGGGGCCCCGTCAGGAACCTAACACATCCTCTTCCCATTGAAATAAACATGGATGTATCATAGAGTAGAAAACAAAAATCTGCATCACTGGTCTAAGAGCCAGCACGTGGCGTGATGTGCAGGCTACTGGAGCTCTGCTGTCAGTTAGCTGGCAAAAGTCCATGGTTGGCAACCTCTGCCATGGAGGGGATCGTTTCGGGAAAGCACAAAACTTGTTCCAGAGCATTTCCTAACTTCCAGGCAATCTCACACCACTTTTTACTCTGTCTGCATTTTCCTTGAACCATGAATGACCTTAACTACCATTAATAATTGATGCTCTTTGTTGAATTGACTCATTTGTAAGACTTAGACTTCATTGAAAGTTTCATCTTCTTACATACATGAAAACCACCAGCACCTTCCTGCCATAAATTGGTGGAGACATGAAGATGAATATGGCAAAAATAAAATAAACATTAAATGTGACTTAGCTGTCTTGCCTCTGAGCTTAAGGCCTTTTGATCTTTTATCTTTGATGAAAAGGGGTCTAAGCCAGTGGTGGGGAGGTATTAACAAAGTGTTAGCACCCGTGTAAGATTTTTTTCCTTAATTTCTCATCAGGCTTGAAAGAATGAACAAGAGGGGTGCATGCTGTGTACATCACCTGAGCTTCTCTTGAGTGGAGAAGCTGTCCTGAGCAGCCTGGCTGCTCTGCAGGAGATGTTGAAACCCTCCCAACAGCACCCTAAAATCCTGCCAAGTGCCCCCTTTGGCCACGTGGTAGCAGCACACACTGGTGAACTTTATTTGGAAATCAAGAGGATTTTGTCACGGTTGTTGTTGAGTGACTTCCCCTTTCAGATCCATCTGTGCTTATTATTTTTTTTTTTTAAATTAGGCCCGGAGTGGCTATTTTTACATTATCATAAAGGAAAATGTTGGTCTTGCTTTTTGGTGTTTGATACATTTTACCCTTTCAGCAGCATTCTTTCCTCCCCATACTGAGCCCATAGGGAGATACGGCTCTCCTCCACACCCTGAGGCCCAGGCAGGACGCTCTCATCACCACGTTCCTGCTCCAACCCTGGGAGGGAGCAGATGTTGGCCCTGCCTCCCAACCCGGGGCGTGATTCCAGCACCTGCAGTCCGGCCCCACGCCTGGCCTGATAAGCGTCCATTTAACAAATGGGAAGGGCTGATGTTTTAGGGAGGGTAGAGTTAGCATTAGGACATGCATAGATGAATGACAGCAGACAGACACAAGCAAGCCTACTGCAATGCCAGCTCCAGCCACCTCGGCATTTCTTTTAAAGCTCTGCTTCCCCACCTTGTCCCTGTCCGCAAATCCCTTGAGCTCATAGAGTATAACACGGCAGAACCACAGGACGACACCACAAGGAATCAACTGAGAGACACGAATCACTGGGAATGCCACATGGGAGGCTCCATAGACCCATTTTCCTGCTTGTTTCAATGCATGCTCAACGACGCCACTTCAGCATCCCGTCCCGGCCCCAGTCTGTGTCCACCCCCATCCCTGCTTGTTGTGAGCAAATAAAGAGGCATGTACTCGCAAGCTGTGTCTGCCTGGATCTCACTGCAGTCTCTCTCCATGCCATCTGGCCGGGCTCATTCCAGGAACACTTCCCTGCTGTTTGCTCACTCGCCCTCCTACAGATGGGCCGGGGCGGCGCTGCTTACCTTGGAGCCGTACAGGTAATAAGGCTGGACGTTGGCGGGCTTGTCTCGTTGTGGTTCTTGGGTGAAAGGAATGGCAGTCCGGACAAAACTGGTACAAGAGACACGAGGAAAGGGTAAGCTGGGTCCCACCGCCGCTGCTCCTGGCGCAGGAGACGGGACCCCTTCCTGACGGGGAGGGGGTTCGCCACGTCTCAGGCGGGTCCCTATCCGGGTGATCAATTCCCCGACATCCTTCCATTGAATTACCATCCCCTGCACGGGGCTGTGGCCACTCAGAATGACAGGAGACAAGGAACAGAGCAAAGCAAGGGAGAGCTGGGTCTCAAAATGGTCTCCCCCAGGGCCCCGTCCTTCCACTTTCAGTTTGGTTCCTCAAGAGCACGTTCTACAAACTCTTGCTATAAAGCAACAGGTATTTTCAGCTTTGCAAGCCAGATGGTGTCGGCTGCAAGAACTCTACTCTGATGCTGTAGCACAAAAACAGTCCCAGTCGACACGAAACCCCCGAGCGTGGCTGAACTCCAGCAAAACCTGACAAATTTCAAATAAGTTTTGCTTGTTGCCACATAGTCGTCCTCTTTGGATTTTCTCTTCCTCTATTGTCCAAAAATGTGAGTTAATCTCACTCTCAACCTGGCAACCAGAGGGGATGTGTGGGCCCAGAGGTTGACATCCCCTGCTCGAGAGCACGGAGACTCGGAAGCCTGTCCCGCTCCATGTGGATTCCTTCCACCCCCTTCCATCGACTCATCTACTCCATCCTGGCTGGGAGCCAGGCTTGGGGTGGGGGTGACAGGAGGGGACCTGCACACACATCCATTTTCTCACCTTTTCCACCAAGCTATGAACCTCTGTGGGAATAAAAGGATTGGGGCCCTACCTTCAGGTCACTGCCTAGCCCAGGGCTGTGTGCTCCTCAACGGAGCCGAGTCCCATTCTGGCAGGCAACCGGAAGCTATGTAAACGAGTGCCTGTCTCCCATGCATGTGTTCAGACTGGGACGTCCTATGGAGGACAATGGGATGGCACCGCTCAGCTCTTCCAGAGTTCATCAATGCATGATTTACATCTGTTCCCAAGGTGTATCTCATAGCAGCAGCACAACTCACTGCTGGCTTGGCTCTCACTAGCCACTTGGTTCCTTAGAATCGTGGCCTGGAATATCCAGCTCCTGCCTTTTGCTCACACTTGTTCCTATTCATCCTTTGCAGCAGGAAGCTGCCCATGAGATTCACATCATTTTGGGACTAGGGCAGGAGGGATTGCCTCCTCTCTCTTGGCCCGATGTTCAGCATCGCCCTTGTTGTGCGACTGGTCCATCACCTCTGGCCTCCCCTAGCACCCAAGAGGCGGGCAGGAGCCCTTCTCCTTGCTCCCCATGGCACCCCTGTCTCCAGTACAGAGCCTGTCCTCAGGAGGGGCCCGAGAGATTCCTGCCACAGGAATGAGCTGACGGGTATACCGGGGCCTGGTGTGGAAGAGGAAGGTGGCCACTCCCTTGACCTCCAGCCAGCCCCAGTCCCCCTGCGTAAGGACCTTCCCACCCCCTTACCGGTTCGTGGAGCCGTTGTAGCAGTAGTTGGGAAGGAAGTCAAAGTTCAGCTCCCAGAAGACATGCAGGGTGATGCGGCCGTACGGGGCTGACACGTTGTGATTGGCCTCCCGGAACATGGCATCGAAGCTGTCCAGTGTCATGTGCTTACAGAGCAGCCGGTGCGTGAGCCGGTTAATCTCGAGCAGCCATTCTAGCTCCTGTCCAGAGAAAGAGCCCAGGGCTGCTAAGGCCACATGCAAACCTTGCACCCAGGCACGAGCGCACTTCATCTTACTGATGCCTTGCACATAGGAGAGAGCCTCCCAGCGAACTGCCTGACCTCCCAGATGGGAACTGGACACCCTGGGGCAGCATCCCCTCCTTTGGAGAAGAGTAAGGAACTGCCCGATCATGCCAGGGAAAGGTGCGGCTGCATGCCCACCCCCTAGAAGGAGACCAGCAACCAAGTACATCCCGCGGGCACAAAGTCTGTTCCCTTGCTTTCTAGTTGTCACACAGGTAAGGACAAAGTTGGCCCCCTGGTGCCACCAGAAAGTGCAAGTGAGGGGTGACGTGCATCATTGGAGACGAAATCTCCACTCTGTGGAAAGCAGTGACAGGAACTACCGCCTGTGCAGCGTGTGCTGCTGGGCCTAGGTGAGGGAAACCATTGCTCATGCGTGCTGCAGGACCTAAGCGGGGGAAACCATTGCTTTGTTAAGGTCGAGCATTCTTGGCCCCTAACCTGCCATGATATAATTCCCTGGAATACAGAAGAGCTGCACTGCTATCGTACTGGACACACAGAAGATGGCCCAGGCACGTAGGCCCCTACCACCCATGTACGAAACCCAGAGAGAATTTTGGGCTCCTGGCTTGAGTCTTGCCCTGTTGCTGGCTGTTGACGCCATTTGGACAGAAGGTCTCTGTCCTTCTTTGAGTTCCACTTCCCTTCAAAATCATATTTCACTTTTTAAAAACTGCTATGGCTGTCAAAGACCTTGGAAAGGCAAAGGCTGGGGCAGCACGATGGCTCACTGGCTAAATCCTTGCCTGGCAAGTGCCGGGATCCCATATGGGTGTCAGTTTGTGCCCTGGCTGCTCCACTTCCTATCCAGCTCCCTGCTTATGCCTTGAGAAAGCAGTAGAGGATGGCCAAAGCCTTGGGCCCCTACACCCACACAGGAGACCTGCAAAGGGATTTAAATCAGCTCAGCTCTGGCCATTGCAGCCACTTGGGGAGTGAACCAGTGGCTGAAAGATCTCTGCGTTTCTCCGTCTCTCTGTAAATCTGCCAACTTTCAAGTAAAAATAAGTAATTATTGAAAAATAAAAAGGGCACAGGCTTCAAGAACATCATCAAGGATGGCTCATCCAATATGGCCAGATGGAATGGCCCAAGAGCCAGCTGCAACAGCCGGACACGGAGCCAGGGTGTCAGGGGCCACAGAACACAGCCCGACTGCTGGGACCGGCTGGAGTCCGGAGTGCGGTCAGGTGGGGAACCCAGCCCCGCTGCTGCTCTCGGAGCTCTGCCTCTCTGAGACTCAGGCTCAGAGGCTGGGGGAACACTAGCATGTGGAGGGAGTCTCGCGGTGGGTTTCCTGTGGCAGATTGGGGTGTCCCTACCAAGATGTAGATGGAGCTGCTGCTTTACACGTTCCATCTGATGACTGCCCCATCAGAGGATGGGCTCAGGGAGGGCTGGCCCTGCAGTTTCTCAAAAATCTGGATTTTATTCCAAGAAGTAGGCACAGGGTGTGTGTGTGATGCACAGGTGGCATGCACTGTGTAGCCACACACAGGGCAGAGACTCAGATTCAGCTTTCTGCTTTGGTCTCCCGGTTCTAGCTCTTCGTGTCCCTACTGGCTGAGCACGGACAATAAACAAGTCAGCGATAAAAGGAACAAACGACAACAAGCTCATCTTTCAGATCACCAAGTTCCCAGGCACACTGCAGGGCCGGAACAAGGAGCAGCTTCTGTTTTGTGGCTGTGACTGCAGCAGGCTCGAGAGCGCCCCCTGGTGCTCACAAGGGAGCAGGAGGAAGAAGTTCTTTCTGCCCTAATTGGTGCTGCTTGTCCTCCACTCATCCTAATCCAAACGGTGCTCCTGTATCATGCTTGCCTTTGTGCTTCTGGCCTGTAAATGGGGAGAAGGCTGCAGTCGGCTACAAGCAGGGCTGCCAGGCTCGGGAGGGCGGGAAAGGCTTTGGGAGCCGGGTAGGCACCCTGTGAGAGGGCCTCCATCCTAGGCTGGGAAGTCAGCCTACCAGGACCACTCCCAGGAGCAGAATGGCAATAATCAAATCCCCTTGAGAAATGGCACAAGAGTTTCCATAGGAGTCAAATCTGTTAGCCCCAAGGAGTGTTAACCAGTGCTGAGGTCTCAGGCAGCAGAGGGGGACTGGGCTCTTCAATACAGGCCCTGCAGCTCACCCCCTGCTTAAACTGTGCCCCCACCACATGGGGCTGACACTGTGGTGTAGTGAGTAAATGCTAGTAATGCTAGCATCTCATATCGGTGTTGGTGCGAGTCCTGGCTGCCGCACTTCTGAGTTGGCTCCTTGCTAATATGCCTGAGAAAGCAGCAGAGAATGGTCCAAGTCCTTCGGTTCCTGCCCCCATGTGGGAGAGCCACACGAAAATCCTGGCTTCAATTGAGACCACCTCAGCTCTGGCCACTGCAGCATTTCCGGAGCGAGTCAGTGGTTGGAAGAGATCTGTCATTCCCTCTCTAACTATGCCAGCCAAAGCAAGCATGACACTTCCGTCATCCTGGAACATTTCTGCCATCCGGGAATGCCCGCTCTGGTGCTGCTGGAACTTCTGAGATTTTGTGGGAGATCTTCCCAATGGTCGGTACCATCTTGGCATCTTGCACGCAGCCAGTAGGCTGCCCGCTGTGAGCTTCCGCTCTTGCCAAGCCTGCTGCACTTTACTCAGCTGTGAGCAAGAAGGGTGACCAACTGCTGGGTCTCGGTAACCCCTCCTGCTGGTGACCAGGCCACCGTCCATCCAACCGCCGTCTCCGAATGGAGTCTTCAGGAAGAAAGGGTGGAGTGGAGGAGGCAACAGCTCCCGGGGCCAGGTGCCGGCCGGGGCAGTTATCCTGACCCGTGGGACAGCGAGCAGCCCCAGGGTCTGCTCCTCTGGGCTTCCCGGGAAGTGGCGGGGTCCCTCATGGGGATGGTGGCTTTCACCTGACACAAGGACCCTCACTGCCTGCTTTGATTTGTTCTCAGCTCTCCAGGAATGGGAAAGGACCACGGGCAGGCACACCCACACTCCAGTTGTGTGTTTCCCACAAGAGATGCTCATGACTGGAAAACTAGTGGAGGGAGAAGAAATTTAAAAAGAAGAAAACAAAACTCCCAGCACTTGGAGATACTCACTGCCAGCAGCACCTTGGCGGAAACAAAGAAAAACTCAGTTTAGCCACACAGAGGTGGTCCAAGATTTCCCAGGGGGAGGCCTGAGGTCTAAGTGGGCGGCTGGCTCAGGTCCACGTGAGACAGGCTGCTGGAAGCTGAATGGGGAGCGGGGCGTGACCAGCTCCAAATTTCTCTTTTAACCTCTCTCTCTTTTTCCCATGAGCTGCTACTTATCCAATACTTCCTATGCTTAAGGAGCTGTGGGAAATCCTCCTGGCAGCATCTCATTCTACTCAGGCCACAATCCTAGGAGACAGCTTTCTAATTTTTTTCAGCAAGAAAATGGGCTTGGGGAAGACAAGCTGAACTCTCCAAGATTGTCCAGCTAGTGAGTGGCAGGGCCAACGCCCAGACCCCAGGCCCGCCTGCCTCTGCAGTCCTGTCTCTCGGTCACTCTATTTATGGCACTTTGTCCCTTTGAAAAAGCAAACGAACCACACACTTTTAATTTGGGAATGATTTCAGCCCTACAGAAATGGTTTAAATACTGCACATTCTACACCTCCTTGTCCCAGTGTCCCTGGTGTCAACAACTTGCACAGTCATCGTGCCAGTAAAGTAGGGACTTCACTCTGGCTCAGCACTGTTGACGGAGTGACAGACTCCATTCAGCTGTGGGCCACGGAAGCCTTCCTTCCCCCCAGGACTCCAACTGATCCTGGACCCCACACTGCTTTCCATTCTACTCATCCATCACCCACAGTTCCTAACAGTTTTTAGTCTTCTCTCTCCTGATGTGGGCACTTTGGAAAGGTATATATATATTTTAAAGGATAGCACTCAACTTGCGTCTATCTGATATCTTGTCATAATTAGATGGAGATTACACATTTGGGTAAGAGTGCATGAGGGCAACAAAAATACCCGTAGCATTAGTAGTTACATTAATATCCATCCTTGCTTAACATGATGTTTGTTGGTTTTCTAACTGTAAAAATCAGTATTTTTTCCTTTGGACTCCAAAGGAATAATTTAACCGATTCATTTCTCAAAGGTTTATTTTTGTCTGTAATTTCAGAAGTGTGGCTACATATATATATATGTATTTATGTATCTGTCCATATAAAATAACATTTACCGTTCGTTAAGAGCTTGGTTCTGCGGTAGTACCTCCTCTCACGGCGCTGTGCAGCCAGCACCACCCATCACAGAGCTCCTGCTCCCCGAACGACACCGCCCACGACACCCTGCTCTCACGCAGCCTCTGCGCTCCTCATCTCCGACTCTGAAGATCTCGGAGTCCTACAACAGCCTGCTCAGGGTTCTCCTGCAGTGACCGTTACGACGGTCTAGTGCTCATTTCCTTTCCTACCCGCCTGCTTCTGACAGCACTGAAGTCCTCTGAGCCACTGGAACACGCTGAGAGGTGGAGAACGAGCTCACAGCAGTTCCAGCTGTTGTCCAGGGAGCATCAGGACAACACAAAACAAAAACTTGTGGTCCCGTATTAATGAAAGACTGTGAATTTAAGCATGGTGATGGCAGATCCCTTCTGAACCCTCCCCTCTTTTCCTTCATCGAGCTGACTTGTCACACGGCTTTTCCCCGGTTGCTAAGGCTCTCTCACATGCTTGCTGGCCTCCACAGGATCCTACGGTCAAGCAGCCGTGCCTGGAGGCTGGTCCCCTCTGGACGTGCCCTGTGCTCTCCTCCACTCCCCCAGGCAGGGGCATAAGGTTATTCTCTTTCTGTTCAAGTCTTCCTCTTGCTACTCCAACTGGGAAAGCGGTCCACTGCTTCTCTTTGCTAACAGCAGGCCCCCGCCTTCATGAAGCCATGGCAGAAACCCCAACCGTAGTGCCCAGGCTCTTACCACAATGGAGGTCAGGTCCTCGCTCTCGAAGCGGCTGATGGCCTGGTCCAAAGATTTATACATAGCAGCAGAAATGCGCTGGGTTATGAGTCTATTCAGGTCAATTGATCTACCCAACAGCTGGGAAGAGAGAAAAAAATAATTACCTAAGTGTCACAAAAAGCCTGACTACTACATGGAATGCACTGACAGGGACCTTTTCAGAAAGGTCATTATTGGGACAAAGGAACACAACTTTGTCAAGTTTCCTGGGGATGATGATTTGGCCGTGCATTCAGGAGAACATGAATTTATCCTCTGGAGATACAGGCCGAGACAGAGAGAGAGAGAGAGAGAGAGAGGTGGGGGGAGCTGTGCCCATGAGAAAGGGAAAGTGAACTAAGCTGGTAAACCATCAGTCATGGCACATCGGGCTACTGGGTACATGAATGTTCCCACTTTCAAGTGCCCCCATAGACTTGATATAAGACAAACCAGGGGAAACCACCATTGGTCCAGCAGTGCAAAGAGGTTGGGCCAAGCTCCTGGCAGCCAGAAATGCTCCTGCTGACGTCCCTAATCGAGCCCTGAGGTTTCTCCTCCATCATTCCTGTGAGCAGCTCTGTCGCCACAGCAGAGCGGCAACCTCAGCCAGGGGATCCCATGTGCTTCTCTGAGGGCGAATTCCAAAGCAAGCGCCCGGGAGCCTGATGTGGGATGGACTGCTTCACTTCTGACCACTGCCTCTGGGACACGCATGGGCATTACTGAGGGTACTTTGTAGATAATCAAAAACATTAATGGAGTACCTGCTGTGTGCACTGCACGTGGCTAAGTGCCAAATGATTAGTCTTAACTGTTACTTCTTTTCCAACCTTCCTTTTTAGCATACATTTCCCACCGCTGGCTGGAGCCCCTGACAGCCATCTCAAGCACACAGACAGCCCCTGTTATTAACATCCTGTGGCTAATTCCGACTTATTACCACTGAAAGCGGAGGTTGCCAGAGTTCTCACAGGGCCCCTGCCAGTGGCAGAGGCACCATGGTCTCCTTCCGTTGGATTTTTCAGAGCAATGGGCCCATCGAGGCAAGCGCTTTCCCTTTCGCACAGGCCTTTTTCTGAGTGCCAGGCTTGCCCTCCATGAGGACAGGGACCAGATGGCCAGCACACCGGGAGCACAGCGCAACAGCAAGTTTGCTGCCAGCTTGCCTGATGTGGGCCAGCAGCAGGAAGGTCCACATTCGTTGGTTCAAGTTCACATTCTGAACCAGGGATGTTTCCCAGTGCCCAGCAGTATTTCTTCTCTGTATGGGATCAGTTGTTAACCCAGTCCCACAAGAGCCAACTGCCCTTTGTGCCCAGAGTTTAACTGCACACTCTTTGTCTCGAGGGCATCAGAGATCTCCAGCACAGTGTCCTTCGCTCACCTGCACGTGTCTCTGCTTCAGGAGTGTTTCATAGCGGTTCGACGGCGGGTACGGAATGATGACTCCATAATTCTTACATTCAGCTCGGAAGCGTTTATCCAGCAGGACACTGCAAGGGATGAGAGTTAAACCAGCACATGACAGCGGGCAGTCCTCAGCAGCCGAGTGACCACAGGACATGCCACTGAGGAGTGACCTCCCGCAACCTGAACTGCTTCCTACTCCAGCAAGGGCCTTCCAGTGTCCTTCTCGCTATGGCGGTGCCATCTGTGAAGCCACTTCTAAGTTAGAGGTGGGCAACCCAGAAGGGGAACCACTTTTGGATTCATCCGTCAGGAAGGCAACAGGACTCGTGCTGAGCGTCACCTGGGACACGCAGTCCTGTTGTTGAGCGGCTGGCATTCCAGTGAAGACGCTGGTGCCACACAGGGCGGCAGAGGCAGAAAGGGTTCTGTGTGGAGTTTACTGCTCACCACGCGCATGTGTGTGCACATTCGTACACGGAGTCATCTTGACGCTCACACCAGCCCCAGGAGGGAGGTGTGCCATGGGTTAAAGCCTGAGGCACAGATGACAGAGTACTCAGTGCTCTGAAAAGGGTCAATTGGGATTGTAGGGGGTTGGGAGTTCAGGGAGACCCACTCATGGGAGGTTCTGTTGGACTCATACAGTAAGATTGGTGTGCAGGGGAAGGGGGGGCTGGCAATGTAGACAAAGGGCAAGGCATGCTGGGAAGCGTGTGCAGACATGAATCTATCCTGTTGAACTGGGGAGAGGGGTCCTATCACACAGGAAGAGGTGAGATCTGAGCCAGATGCAATTAGAAGCTCAATGACGTCATCTCAACCAGCACAGCCCGCGTCGAAGCCCTCGGGCACAAGTGCTGATGGAACATCAGAAGTGAACATGGTCCAGATTCAGACGTGCTGTGATTTTGAGTGCTTAGCAAAGAAAGACTAAAAGAAACCTCCTTCATAAGGAGGATCTAGTCCTCAATGTAGCTTTGCTAGTGCCTTGGGACACATGAAAAGGCTGGACACTCTTAATCTCCATCCTAGCATCACACTGATACCTTTGTTATATGTTTGTAACTTGATGTGGATGAAGCCTCACTATTTTTTTCCCTTCTTGGGGTTGGACGGTACTGAAGGGGATGCATTATGTGAAAGTAGTGGAAATTAACATGTTCATAGGTGGAAACAGAGAGAAGTCAGTCCTCATGCAAGCACTACAGAGATGGACTCCTGCACTGTTGGGAGACACCCTGCACCTCGTGTGACTTAACCCTTCATATGCTGCTTACTCAACATGGCCTTTCTAGTCTAGGTTCCATAGTCCTTTATCCCCATATGTCCACCCACGTCTGTCCTCCCCACCGGCTGGAAGACATTATGTCCTTCCTGCTGCCGTCTGGCACCCTCCAGGCCTGTGGAACTGCCCAGTGTTTCTTCGATGTTAATGCAGCAGGCTGGTTTTGTCATGGAAGATCATGTCTTCCACATGGCAGTGTAAGGGAAGCGCTGCCCACGGGGCTCGCCTACCTGCCGGCCATGGCTTTGTAGTAGGCGAAGATCTGATCTGCCAGTTTGTAGACAAACTGATCGAAGCACAGGTTCACCTGGAAAGGGGAACGGGGAAAGGTCAATGGCGCCCGCCATGCTTCTCACAGACACTTAGGCAGCCAACACGAGGACAGCCAGGCAGGGTTACACAGTGTGTTCAGGTGCAAGATATTGTGAAGGAAAAAAAGATTCTGCAACTAACTTAACTTGGAGAGTTGGATCCTTTGCTCTCAAGATCTTCAGTGAATCAATAGGGAGAAGTTTCAGAGAAACTAGATGACAGGTTGGTGATTAATCTTTGATTCTTTATCACCAGATTCTGGCTCCATAAGGCTCAGTTTGCATTCACGAGGTTTTATGTTACCCCCCCCAGGAATGTGGGATGTGGGGCTTTCCTCCTGCTCAGATCACTGAGGCTTCTTCCCGGACTTTGAACTTCAAGGGTTGGCCGCGGACAGGGTCAAGGTGGGGCTTTTCATTCTGACTCCATTCTGTTCTAGAACCTACTCTGAAGAGTCCTGCACAGATGGCTCAGGCTGCTCCCGAGCTAAGCGCTCTTTTGCTTGGTGCTGTGGCTTGGGGGGGAGGGGTAGTTTGAATCTCGAGGCCCATATGCGAATGACTCGGTCCTCAAAGTCATAACTGAATAGTACTCGGTGGAAACTTAGTCCAGTTATGGTTTTCAGGGGTGGGACTTTGGAGAAGTGCTGAGATTGGATTCCACTGTTAGCATACAGCCTCATGAGTGAATCAGCACAGTGTTTTTAAGGAGCGAGGACACAAGCTCTCAAGTTTGCCATGGGGGTTTCCTGCACTGCCATGGGACTTAGCCAACAATGCCATCCCCAGGTGCCACCCAAACTCCCAAACTGGGGCCTGAAATAACTCTCTTTCTCTCACCAGTAGCTTAGGTTACATGTTTCATTAAGTAACAAAAAGCTACTAACACACTTGGCTTCCTCCCCAAGGGCAGACCACAGCGAAGTGTGCATACAACTAGGCCCTCAAGTTGCCCACGGGCCTTTGTAAAACGGAGATGTTGGCATGGCTATTGTCATACACACACAAAGTCCTTAATGATACGAACATTTAAGGATGAGAAGAGACGGGCAGGACACAGGCTAGGACTGTATAAACGTACTTCAACAAGTTCATGGAAAAATGAAACCAAAACATAATTTTGGTATACTGTTTTTTTAAATCAAGGCATAGTGGGTTTTTTTTTTTCATAATATGCATCCTCACAGACTTTTTGAAGACCCCCTCACATGAAGGGATTTCAAAAACCTTTATACCAACAGCATCTTTTATTCCAGGTTCCATGAATTTCGGAAGCACCCTCATGTTTGTACCCCATGCCCTCACATCTCACACGCAGCTGGTTTCTGAAGACCACAGTGAATGGGCAGCCGGTTCTGCAGGAGAAGCCGTGCCCTTCACCGCCCCCCCCCCCGTCCCCACCCACCACACTCAGTGCTAACAGGCAGAGACAGGTCTCAGGGCAAGACCAGACAACAAGAACGGGGGCCCAGCACTTGCCTCGGCTTCAATCTCATCATACAGGAACTGCTTTTTGAACTTGGTCAGAGCGTAGTAGGCACTGTCGTTGTACAGGTCCAAAGGATAGAGGACGTACCTGCAAGTGAGGATCCAGGAGCTCAGGGAAGGGAGCTGGGAAGGCAGGCAGGCTGGCACACTCAGGGACAGAGGGTGGTGGTGAAGAGAGCCGAGCTCAGAGCTGGGGGCTGGGGGGGGGGAACCACTTTTCACACCTCTCCAGGAGTCCAGTGCCTCCTCCACTTAGGAGGAGGATTTCTGTCCCCAGAAATCCCTAGTCCCTTGGCTAATGAAACCAAGGCCTGAGCTGAAGTGTGGCAGAGCGCTGAATCAGGCGGCTGAATCAGGTGGCTACGGAGCGTGCTGGCTCCTTGAAGCCCAGAGGGGATTATTCTCTGAGCAGGACTGTTACACAATTGACAAGATGCAGAAAGGAAGGGTGGCCCGGGAGGACTCCCGGAAGCTTTCTACAGCCAGAATCAAATGCCCCCTGTGTGCCCCCACCACTGGCTCCCTCTCCACCTCTGTTCCAAGCACTGTACCCCTTCCTTCCGGAAAACACCGAGCTTACGGGCAAGACATTTCCAACCAAAGCACCTGCTGCTGGGCCCAACCCTGCCACTTACTCCATCATGGAAGGTTCTTTGGTTTCCAGGATATGGTCCGTTAGAATCCAAGGCATGGACATTTCAATGGGGAACTGGATTCGCCGGCCCATGGTTAACTCCAGGAAGAATTCTCGGAACCAGAGCTGAGACAGGTCGCAACACTGCTGCAGGGCCTCTGTGAGTGGGGGGAGAGTGGGTGGGTCCCAGGCAGAGCTCAAAGACCACAGTGCTGGTTTTACTTCACGTTGACTATGACGACTGGCCTCACGTTGCTAAGTATACAGCAGGTACCTCATAAATATCAAGTAGCATATTCTGCACCCTTGCACTTTAGCCAAGCCTGATTGTCTACTTGCAAAGCTGCAACTGTCAAACTTTACAGACAGTGGCAGGCTGTGGTGCAAGAAGTGGTGACGCCTCAGTGTAAAACTCACACTTCCATGAGAAGCCCCCGAGTGCACTGCGGCTCCTCACCCCCTTCCATGTGGGCGTTGCAGATGCTGTGTGGTTCAGAGCCCTTCTCAGGTACACCTCTGATGGACAACTTTAGACTGCTTCCTGAAAAATCACTAAATATGTTCAATGCCAACAGGCACAGTTCAACCCCCTAAGTTGAAGACACTGGCCTCCAGCCTGTCCCATAGGATGTGCATCCTCCGGGAGAAGGGGGCTGCAGAGCAGGGACTGGGATGCAGTCCGGCAGGCTCTTCTGCCGGGAGTTCAGCAGGACTGAGGAGCCGGAGGCCAGGTAGCGCCTCGGGGGCTCTGTATCTATGCTCCTGTTTGGATCTTGTTCTACGGAGGACCTCCTGACAAATTCACCACCAAGAGATGCTGGGTACCCGCTGAGCGGTGGGCGGAGCTAACGAGGTGAACAGAGGCTGGTCTTCCCTAGCTCCCAAAGCCTGCCAGAAGGTGGAGCTCCTCCCTGGGGGGTGGGCTGTGCCCCTCTGGGCCTGAGGGCCTTGGCTGCTCTGGGCAGTGGGGGCTCCCATCCCTGGCCCCCCCGCTCTAGAGCTCACCACTGATGTTGAGCAGATGTGTGAAGAAGAAGGACTGCTTGTGGAAGTCCTCTATGGCCAGGACGATGGGGCCATCCAGGCTGCTCCTCAGGGTCTTCTTGGAGCCACTTTTGTCTGCGATGAGCGACTCCAGCATGGTGCGCACCATGTACAGCTTGAAAACAATGGAAGCTGACGTTAGGGGCCAGCCCACCCCCGGGGGGGAGCTTGCTTTGTTCACTAGTGATTTTGTTTGTTTGTTTGATTTGTTTTTTGCTGTTAAACACAGTGTCCTGAGAAGGTACCAGTTGAGGTGGAAAAGTGAATTTGGAACTGTGCAAACCTCAAGGAGAAAGACTGACCAGGCCTGGGGGGGGAGGGGGGAAGCTCCCCAGGGGCTCTGCAGTGTCCCTGGGTGGGTGGGCATGGTGACCCCACAGATTTCAAGGCCCAGGGAGAGGTTCCTGTCTGCCTGCTCAGCCAAGGGCACAGGCATCAGAGAAGACCCTCATCCCATGTACTCTCTGCTTCCCCAGACAGCCACAATGGCATCACGGGTAGGCTGCTGGACTGGAAGTCAAAAGACCCAGGTTCAAGGCCAGGCACTGCTGTTGACTTGCTGTGTGACCTTAGGCAACAAAGCACCCACTCTGGGCCTCAGTTGTACCATCTGCCATGAGGGGTTGGACCAGATGCTGTCTCCCACCAGTCCCTTCCAGCTTTAACCTTAGCAGGAAGTAAGAAAGAGACCAAGCTCAGAATGAGCACCCCCCTCCCACAGCTCACATTTCTGATCCTCTGCATTTTGAAGTCAATTACCGAGTAAGGGCGCCCTCTGGTGGTGTGGGCTGAAAGTTCAGCCTGCAGAAACCCTGGGTGGAAAACGGGTTCACGTTGGTACTTACAAAAGGAGGCTACCAGACAATTAACTCCTGCTTACTGGGAGCCCTAAGTGCCAAGGGCGTGAGTGCGGTAGGGTTGGTCGTTCTCTCTGCTAATCTAGATCTTTCCACACCATCTGTCTCTGAATCTGAGGCTGCAGGGGGCCTTGAGGAGCCGGGCTAGTCCGTTCCCGCTGCCTCCTCCAGAAGAATACCCAAGCCAACCCAGCCGGGCGGTGCTATACCAGGGATCGGCAGCCTCTTCGGCCCTGTGTGCCACCAGTGGGGTGAAACAAAGCCCTCGGGGACCACTGGCAGGCCTAAGACAGAGATAGGAGAGAAGGCAGAGGGAATGGGAGGGCAGGAGAGACAGGGAGGAGGGAGAGAGAGAAAGAGAGAGAGAAAAGCAAGAGGTATTGTATACGGTGGGAAAGCCGCCGCGACACATGGGGGGTGGGGAGGCCTCTGTCTTCACGCTCCAGCCTCCCAGCAACCACATCCTCCTGGGCTCCCTCGCCTCTTTCTCCGGGGCCTTCCCCACCGCACGCCTGGCCCTGACCAGGCCAGCACAGCCACAGATCTGCGGGACACACCGTCCCGTCCCTGCACCGGCTTCCCTTCCCGTGCCCCAGGCGGTGCCACCCGCAACCCTGCCGGCAGCGCCGCCTCCTCCTCCCCGTAGGGATGGCCTGGGGAGTCCCCATCAAGACTGGCCCGTGGGGTGCTGGCTGCTTCCACCAAACTCTAACTGAAAAGCTGGGTGCACCTGTCACAGAGTGAACTCTGTCCTGAACTACTTCTATCTGACCGAGCATTCAATCTGCCAGAAAAACCTATATGCCAGCTACTCCCATGGCTACTGGGCTACTCCCATGGCCACCAGGCCTCGAAGGCTGTAACCAGAGCCCTGGGGCAGGAGTCAGGAGACCTGGGTTCTTGTCCCCCCTCCACTTGGGACTCACCGTGTGACTTGGACAAGTCACTTGCCCTCTCTGGACCTCAGTTTCCCCATCTGTAATATCAGGTAAGGGACCGGGACAAGTTTGCCTCTAAGGAAGCTATTCAAGACCTGTGTGTTACCAACACGACTGGATGGCATCTGGGAGAGGCTGTTGGTGGGCACCCCCCCAACATCTGTACATGCTCCTTCCTCCCCTCCATTTCTCAGTTTCTGCCCTCTGCCTGCCAGTGCCACCTGCATCCTCTCCTTCCATATTCTCGTGGGTCCTAGCTATCCCCTGTTCCTCATGTTTTAGTCCATGCATAGCTCTCCAGGGGCACCCCGGAATGGAGACGCCCACAAATCTTGCATTTCACAGAACTGCTGGTCCAAGTTGTACTGGGTTGTTCCATGCTCAGCAGGTAGATGAGCTCCTGCTGGGCCAAGGCCTAGAACATCAGGGGCAGTTATGGCAATTCTGCTGCAAACCCCACCTTACTCTGCCACAGCGCCCACACCCCTGCCAGACAGACACACATACACAGACAGTGAGGAGGATCCACAGGGCGGGGAGCGGGGAGGCAGGCAACGCAGATGACCCGTGTCGGCTGATTCGGAGCTGAGAAGGTTTTGAAGGTTTTGAAACTGGGGTGCTCCCAGCCTGGGGCTTCTGGGGTCCGTAAGACCCTCTGTGTTATGACGGGACCCATCTACTTTTTCTCAACACTTCAACGGCCTGCCAGAAACTGGATACCCTCAGGGAGGTGGCAAGGAATTAACGATGCCCAGAGTATCTCTTTTTTGCCACCCCTCATGTAATTTGATCATTGCTCTAGACAGGACACAGTTGACATGTGCAAAAGCTGCCGGTGGCATCTCTGAGTCTCTGTGACTATGTGATTTTCTCTAAGGAAGTCAGGGCTCTGCATGCTTCAGAAAAACTTTTTTTTTTTGGTGGGGGTGGGGGATGATGGGGGAATGAGACCATATCAATAACATGGTCTCATCCAAAGTTTTCCTTTCCCAAAGATAATCAGAGCACAGCAAGGTCAAGGTCCCCCCCCAAGATCACACAGCAAGTCCAAATCTCCAGGCTGGGATGTCACTGCAGGGGAAGAGGTCGGGGTTCATCAGTGGGGGACTGCACGGAGGGACTCCTCACGCCCATGGAGATGTGTACTTCTCAGGGGGCCTAGGTGGATATGGTATCACCCCTAATGGCCACATTAGACAAGTGGAGCACAGTGAGATTGTGCAACATGCCCGAGGTCACACAGGAATCTAGAACTAGAACCCAGGTCTCTTGAATCAGAAGCCAGCCATCTTACTCCCTACATCAAATCAGATGGCAGAATAAGGTCAGAGCAGCTGCTCGACCCTGCCCCTCCTGACCAAGGACCACCCCCACTCCCCACCCCGCTCCCCTCTGTCCCTTATGACCAAGCTGGCCTTTGGGTCAACAAAGCTGGTCTGTGCCTGGTACCGCTTACCTGTGTGCTGGATGGCCCCACGGCTCGCCGGGGCACCTTGATATCAAATCCACCTTTTGGGTCCTTCTCCCCTCTCAAGCATGGGTCATTGGGGGGCTCGCGTCCCCCCTCCCAGTCACAGATGGTCTTCCGAATTGCCTGCAGAACACTGGAGAAGCAAGAAGATGGCTAGGGCTAGGTCTCACCTCTCCCAAGAAGGCACCTGCTAATTACGGGATGCTAGGACCACCTGGCTTTACATGCTCATTCACAAGTGTCAATCCCAGAGATGCTGGCTGACTGGACTGAAGGTGCATTTTTGACTGGTGTCCACTGCATGTCTGAGCCTGGGTGGTGCAGCAGAACCTGCACTACTGGCAGGATGGCTACTTATTCTTTTTGGTTATAGAGTAGGACTCTCATGAGCCCAACCAAATCCTTCTTAAGCATTTAAAAGCTGAGTAGACACAATGGCCTAGCAGCTAAAATCCTTGCCTTATAATAGCCAGGATCCCATATGGGTGTGGGTTCATGTCCCAGCTGCTCCATTTCCCATCTAGCTCCCTGCTTGTGGCCTGGGAAAGCAGTTGAGGACAGCCCAAAGCCTTAGGACCCTGCACCCATGTGGGTGCAGTTCCTGGCTTCAAATAAGCTTAGCTCTGGCCATTGAGGAAATATGGGGGAGTGAAGTAGTGGACAGAAGATCTTTGTCTCTCCTCCTCTCTATAAATCTGGCCTTTCCAATAAAAATAATTTTTTTATTTTTTAAAGCTGAGTGATAGATTTTTCTTGTTGCATACTCATTGTTCTGTGGGACGCTGTGCTTAGAGCATCTCACTTTATCCTAGCAAGTGTCTTACAGTCAAGGAGAACAGAGGGGTGGAGATGGTAGAGTAACTTGATGAAGTTCACTCAGCTGGAAGAATGAGCTTCAAAGCCAGAGATGAAGGCTCAGTCCCTCCCAGATGCCCAGCCAGCTGAGGGGCCTTGCTAGAGAACTTGCCAGAAGGGCTGGCTCCGAGGCTGAGCCAAGAAGTTCCTGTGTGGCCAGTACCCAGCAGCCTGCATTCCTGCCAAGGAGGACCCACCTGATAAGGACGTTCTTCTTTTTGCGTACCGCCTGCCTCAGAGGCTCACGCAGGGTCACCTGGGCAAAGTCCTGCAGAGCTGCATAGATGGTGTTCCTGATGGCTTGGTTGAAGACGCTCTCCATCCTGCCCATGAGCACCTGCAGTCCCTTGATCATGGCAATCACCTAGTCGGGCAGAGATCAAGAGTCGGGCTCACAGAGCTCAGCACCCCAGCCCATCCTCCGCCTTCCCCATACTGCAGGAAGGGGGTTGTGTGGGACATCTAGAAGCTCAGGGCCAGGGTTGCTTAAAGTGCTCACTCGGGATGAGGTGAGAGGCAAGGCAGGATGTATGTGGACCAACAGCCTGCTTCCTTCATCAAGAGAGTCTCACTACAGAACAAAGGTGCTGGCACAACTGGACCTGTGCTTCAGGGCACCACCGCTTTTCCTGCTGGCATGAGCTCCTGATTGCTGATTGCGGACTAGAGATAGCAGTTCAACAGACCCGCATTTTGAGTAGCATTCTGGCTACTGTTCGCATATCATAAATCCACAATTTGTATCAAATACAACTTTTTGGGCCAATGCTGTGGCAGAGGATTTTAAGGTGGTATGTGAGATCCTGGCATCCCATACTAGAATGCTGATTTGAGTCCTGACTGCTCCACTTCTGATCTAGGTCCCTGCTAAGGTGCCTGAGAAGGCAGCAAAGGATGGCCCAAGTGCTTGGGATCCTGTCACCCATATGGGACACCTGGACGGAGTCCTTGGCTTCAGGCTTAGGCCTGGCCCAGCCCTGACTGTTGTGGCCATTTGCGAAGTGAACCAACAAGATGGAAAACCAACCAAGCAATCTCTCGCTTCTTATTTCTCTGTAGCTCTTTCAAATAACTTTTCAGATACAGCTTCCCCTTCTCAAAGAGTTTTATAACCTTTGCTTTTGAAATGTGACCAGCCACTGCTTAAGTCCATAAAACAGAAGCTTCTCCTGGAACAGTCTTGGGAAGGGAACCTATGCCCTTTTCTTTGCCTCTTCCCTGCCTCTCACCCACATCTCTGGAGAGAAGGGTAGGCAGGTCCTACAATGAGTGGAGGTTGGCTCAAACTTCCCCTCCCTCTCTGACTGTAAATGTGTGCCCTCGCTCCTGGGGCTCTCTCCTTCCCCGTGCTTTCATTAGCCCATGTACATAGGATACAGAGCTGTATACACTTGTCGCTGCTCTGCCTGCTGCCCGAGGGGGATGGACAGAAACTTGACGGCTCCTGGAGGAAGCCTTTCCTTCTCTAGTTCAGCGTCACCAGCCACAGATCTGATCCTTGGGCCTGACAGCCCCGTTCGTTACATTCTGAAGGGGTAAGAACTTGGAGGGAAGGCATTTGCCAAACCCACCTTCACGTGGCCACCACACTCGTCACTCGCCTGAGGGCATGCTGGCAGCAGTGCAGGGACAAAGCTCAGCAGTGCCCTGCGTGTCCAGCGTGGGGTCTGCGAATGTGGTAGAGAGACACACCCCCTTCTTTTTCTAATACTTGAGGTAGAACAAGAAGGCTGGAGGTAGAGGGAACGGAGCGAGAACAGAGATCTGAGGTGAGCAGCTTATCACAGCCAACTTGGAGAGCTGCTGCAGTGTAGGATCCTGACAGGAGAGAGGCGTCGAGGACTATCAGGTCACAAAGAACCTGAGCTCGTCCCTGGAGGTGTCACACGAACCATGGACTGGGGGAGAATAAACAGTGCAGACACTTCAGAATAATGGCAGACGGGGGCACAGCTCTGTGGGACCCAAGACAAGACCTAGGGAATTGATGAATTGAAGTTTTCCAGAACGAAAAACAGGTGCTCCTCAAGTCATCCTTGACAGGAAAGGAAAACTCGCCAACTTGAAACAATAACGCAATGTAGCCAACACTTGCGACTTGCACCCTGGCTACAAAAGGACAGACTTCTTGTAATTTAGTACTAAGTCAGGAATCCAACTTCCAAAGCTGGGCAAAAGATTTCAACAAATAACACTTCATCAAGAAAGGTATGGAAGTGACTAACACTCCGTGCAAAGATGCTTGCAATAATGAGTCTTTCGGGGAAATGCAAATGAAAATCTCAATGAGATCTGATTATGTACCCACAACTCAGATGACTCGTGACAGCACCAAGGCGGGCAGAGAACGGGAAACAAGCGGATCTCTCACAGAGCTGGCACCAGCTCAAACCCGGGCCACTCTGCTCCTTACATCTACTCTGCTTATCTCCGACAGTTTCTTAAAAAGTTAAACATCCATTTACAACAGGACCATACGAGAAGAAATAAAAGCTCTCAGCCACGTAAGTACTTGCACGCAAATACTTAAAATAGCGTTGTATATACTGATCAAAAGCCATGAATATTCACCAACAACTGAATGGGTGGATGTTTCAACACATCTGTGTGCAAAAGAATAACACCCAACAATGAAAACAAACTCTTAATACACACGTAACAGTGTAAGCGGGCCACAAAAGGCTAAATGATCTAAATTTGGCAAAAACATAAATCTTCAGTGGCCATGACAGAGAACTGACTGCCTGTGTGCGGGGGTAGAGCGAAGCAGGAGAGACAAAGAGGCTCCGGAAGGCTCAAGGGGAAGATGGACGGGACTGTGTTTGCTACTTTCCAAGTACACAAAACTATTTACTCTTCCCACTATTCACATTACATGACTGCGGTTTATTGAGTATAAATTACACTGCGATAAAACTATCAGGAAAACTATAACATCCTCATGAAGTCATTGTGATACAAAAACAGGGTGCTAGTACTATAAAGACAACACACAGAAAAAGATAGCTTCTGAACATTGGAAATATGATGGCTGGGGTCTGGCGCAATAGTGTAGTGGTTAAAGTCCTCGCCTTGCATGCACCAGGATCCCATATGGGCGCCGGTGCTAATCCAGGCAGCTCTACTTCCCATCCAGCTCCCTGCCTGTGGCCTGGGAAAGCAGTCAAGGATGGCCCAAAGCTTTGGACTCTGCACCCGTGTGGGAGACCCGGAAGAGCTCCTGGCTCCTGGCTTCAGATGGGCTCAGCTCCAGCTGTTGTGGCCACTTGGGGAGTGACCCATCGGACGGAAGATCTTCCTCTCTGTCTCTCCTGTCTCTCCTCTCTGTATATCTGCCTTTCCAATAAAAATAAAATGAATCTTTAAGAAAAAAAAAGAAAAAAGAAATACTATGATCAACTTGTATGGACACACGGTTTATTCCCGAAGATACAGTCCCAGGGCTCCTGGGCCAAGGCTATGCCTACTAGAAAGGTGAATATGAACTGGAATGCACGTGAGGGAAGCCCATGGTGTACACTGGCCACCCCAAACATCCAAGAGTGTCTTCTTTCTATGCTGCAACAGGCACCAATGCCTTCACATCTTTGCTACCTGGACTGGCAAACACTGTCCTCAATCTTACTCCGATCGCCCATGGTCTGGGCACTCTTCATGTCTCTTATAACTGGTTTGTATGTCTGTTTCTTCTGTGGGCTTGTTCGGCTCACTTTTCTAGTGGGCTGGAGGTTTTCCTTAAGATTCTCAGGAGTAGAGTTCCTGGCCATTCCTGCATTATAACTCTGGACAGAGATTCGTCAACAGGAACAGGACGGGGAGAACGGACGCCATCCTGGTGGGTGGGACCACAGCGCATCCCTCGGATGGGGGAGCAGATGTGGGGAACAGGCACCTACCTCCACGAAGGCAAACTTCTCCTCGCTGGTGTAATTGTAGCGTGTGGCCCGCTCATACTCCTCCGCCGTGCCGGGACAGTCCTTGTTGCAGAACTTGTCTGTGGGATGCACCAGCTTCCAAGAGTACTGGAAGGGGGGGAAAGCGACACACCCAGACGGCTCTCAGCTGATCCGTGGATAAACACAAGGGATGGACCCACGCAATGGAGCCAGCAAAGAGGAACATGAGTCACGCAGAACACGGATGAAGCCGAACACCGGGCCGATGTCTGGCCTGGTGAAGATGTCCCGTGTAGCGGTGTGTAGGTTTGATACATGGCTGTGTTCTGGATACTGGCTTTTTCTTACATAAAATCTGGGGGTAGCAGCTGACAGCTCAAGGATTTGAGTCCCCGACACCATACGGAATACATAATTGGGACTTTCTGGCTTCTGACCTCGGCACCCCCGACACTGTAGGCACTTGGTAAGTAAACCAGTGGGTATGACGTCTTTCTCTGTCTCTCAAATACACAGATTTTAAAAAGCCAGTACGTGAGTAAGAAAATCTGAGCTAAAAAAAAAAAAAATCCAAACATGAAAGACCACATATTCTATGATTCTGCAGGAAACGTCCAGAACAGGGAGTCCTTTCAAGATAAAGTTGGTCCCTTAGGGCTGCAGGAATGGGTGTGATGATGCGTACAAGGTTTGATGACAACATCCCAAACCTGGCTGTGGTTTTAAAAGCGTGTGGATATACCGAAGACCAATAACCACACACGTGAAATGGCTAAGTTGCATGGTATGCAAACTGTACCTACACACAGTTGCTAAAACACGTGCAGTGGATGGGCAGGCTCTGATGGATTATAAGTGGGAGGTCAGCGCGGGTGGGGGGCCCTGCCCTCTAGGATACCTACCACCTCCATGACGTGGGCGCTCCACTTGGACAGGAGCTGCAGGCCCCTCAGGGCCAGGTCGAAGAGCTCTCGGTACTCTTCGTCTGACTTCTGGCTGTCCAGTCCGGAGCCTGTCACCACCTGGGGAACAGCAGACCGCGACACTCACCCTCCCCAGGCCTGACGCTGCTGCACATTTTACTGACTGCTCCCGGGGAAGTGCTCTTCTGGTAGCCCCTTGGAGACTAACCGGGGCTCAGACAGGCAGCACGCTCAAGGCCACGTGGCTGCTAAACGCTTGGTGGTGCCCATCTGGGGCTGTGATGCCAGAGCCCCACTCACAAGCACCCTGGCGCGGGCAGTGTGGGCAGCGCAGTGGCTTTCAGTGTTTCTCACGGCATACATGGTACAAGATGCACATTATATAGTGAGTCAGGACGTACGCCTGCCTAGAGTGTGTGAACGCAATGATGCTTTTCGTGAAGCTGTGTTAATACCCGCGATGCCCTCTGACCTTCTGTTCTGTCTCGTAAAACACTAAAGCGATTTCTACATGGTACAGACAGCCTCTCTGTGTACTATCCCACAGGAGGATGCAACGCGTATGTATACAGGTGTGCACGCACAAAGCTGTGTGTGCACATGGGCACACGTGTCCCTTCCTCATTATTGGCAGATTCTGGATTTTTTAATTCACTCACTCGCTCAAATCCATTTCTAACCCCAATCGGTTCTCGCCGGGATGTCTCAGGAATCCACTCGTGCCTTCCAGCCAGCTGGCCAACGAGCAGACCCTGCCGTCTGGTCTCAGCTCTCCTGCTCTAAGTGTCCAGCTGGTGGCCACACACATTTCTGTGCTTTGTCACTACTGATTTCACAACCTAAAACAGCTCCCAAGTACGGAGCTGATGTGCTGTATCATGTCGTTATAAGCAAAAACAAATAACAAAAAACAAAAAAACCTAAAAAAACAAACAAACATATAAAGCAGACAATTAAAAGAAAAATCTTTGACCAGATTTGCTCTGAGACAACACCAAACCTAGACTAGAAATAAAGGGGCTCCAGCACAGAAGAAAACTGATTCCTGTTGATCTGCAGATGTAGTTAAGCAAGCTGGAGGTCGGAGCTTGACCTTGACCTTCAGGCACCACTAACCTGGTCTACTACACTCTGCAGGTGTCAGCCACTCGCTACTTCCAGCATCTTAGCTCTGATCAAAGACATTCTCATGGTAGGTTGGGTTTGGAAAACCAGATCACTATGGCTTCTGGCCGAGCGGTGGCGCTCATGAGCCGATGTGAAGTGGGGCATGGATGCCAGGAAACTCAAACCCAAGACTGGTAAGCACTTGGTAAACACCAAACAGCACAGGTACCCACAGGAAGGAGGTCTCTAGCAGGAAACCCAGGAGGCCACACGTACCCACACACTAGTCACAGCTGCTGCCAAGATCCTAGGATGCTACTTGGCTCCTGCTTCTGCTTATCTGTGTGTACAAGGTTTGTGCTCTCATCATGTGTCCATTTCCAAGAGACTAGAACATACAATGTTCTTACTGGAATGACAGGATATTTTTATGACCTTCTGTTGTCCCCCCACTGTATTTATGATTTTTAAATAATAATCATTTATTACTGTGTAGTTAAAAAAATACTCTGATGGTATTAGAAGCAGCAGTGTTCGGAACTCAATTTCTCTTGTCCACCAGGGAGAGATGGTTTGGGTCAAGTACAGGCACGAGGAACCATTCCTGGGGTCTTCCCATCTGCCAGGCACCACGGGATCCATCCCCTGAATGGACCCACCAGCACCGATACAGCAATGGACACAGAGCAGCAGAGATGTGCCGTGGCAGAACAGGGATGGATCCCAGCTCTGTGCAGCTCTTGGTTCGTTGGCCCCTCCTGCCTTTGAACGTACTCCCACCCTGCTGCTCCGTGACCTGGCGCTTTTCCATGCTCTGCCAGCAGCTGCCCGCCCCTCCTGGCCCTGGGCGCACACGGGCTCCACCCCCAGCTGCAGGGTCGTGCTCACCTCGCTGTTGCTGTAGCGAGCGAGTTCGGAGATGAAGCGGATGTGGTCATCACGGATCTGAACCATCTGCTCGCAGATGTTGTACTGGGGGCTGATGCTGCTCTGTGTGCATGTCCACCTGCACGGAGAATCAGGGGGTCAGAGCGGGCCTGGTTCCTGGGGTTCAGCCTAGTGCTGGACCCCTGGCCGGAGCCAACAGACATCCCTGCCACCTGAGCAGGATGCTAAACAGTCCTTCCTCCTCCTCCTCCTGGGGGCAGCCTCCTCTAAGACCCAGAGACAGCCCTTCCACAGCACCTGCTCCACGATACTTACCAGCTCTAGGTGCAGCAGAGGGGACTCACCCAAACAACTGTATCCCAGCAAAGAAAGAGCAAGGGCAAGGTACTGCCTTCGGCCTTGCAGCACCGGCACACCAAGGCTGGGCTGGGGCCGGCGGACCCTGGGTGGCACTGTGGCCCTTCTCTGCTGCTGACCAAGCCCTGGAGAGGCTCCTCCCAGGGCAGGAAGGCACGGTGGTTCTGTGGTGTGTGGTCTGCACCCTTCCTGCTTACCCTGCTCCCCTCTCTTCCTTCCCCCTTCCTCTCTTCTCTCCTTAACTCTTTTTGGAAAGATGTCGCTAGGAAAACCACCCAGATGCACATCTTCACTCTACCTCTCTAAAGAAAAAGGTCACTCCAGCCCCTTCCTCCAGAGGGAATCCAAAACACAGCAGGTAGGGCACAGACGCCTAGCTTGTGCACACGCGCTGAGTCTCCTGTACAGGGATGGGCCCCGGGGCCCACCTGACACCTGCCCAGGTCACCCGCAAGCCCTGCTCCCAAGCCACTTTTGGTGGGGTCATAGGAAGAAGGGAGGTGGTCTGCGGCTCTGACCCCACGCTTTCCCTCCAGGGCTCTCGGCAAGTGGCAGGCAGTACTTGGAAGGAGAGCCCCTCGCGTAAGGACACTGGGCTGGCAGCTCTCGGCAACACCTGGCCCATAGTCAGGACGACGGTTCTACTCAGTCAGCACTGGGCCAGAAGCTCACAGAAGGAACCCCCTCAGCCTTAACAACAAGAACAACAAAAAGGTCCAGGCTCAAGCCAGGTGTGCCTCCAAGTCCTGCAGGGAGCCACAGACACCCCAGATTCCTCCTACCCAAGTCACTTAGAGCAGCTTCTATCTATACTGTGCCCTAGGGTTAGAAGCCTGCAAACCACACCCCTGGGGGGGCCCCCTCCTCCCCACCACTCAGGAAGGAGGACTCTTGCTGTCCCACTGAGGGGACATGTGGGTCACCACCGCTCAGCCACACCAGGCGCAGGGCTGTGCTCTGAGCTCTTTCGAATCTGGCAGCAAAGGGCAGATTCCAAAGGGCTCAGAGCAGCCGCTGCTGTGCCCTGCAGGGGGTGCCAGTGTCCTGAGGGATCCACGTGCCCAGGGCTCTGGGGAGGAGGGAGGGGCTGAAGTGGCCCCTCGGCCCCCTGCCCAGGCTGGGCAGCATCCTGGTGGGAGCCGAGAGACATTATGGCAGGCACTCACTTGGACTTGTTCTCTTCATAGTGAGCACTGGTCTTAATGTATCTGGCCAGCTCTATCTGCATGTCGCCGAAAAGGGGCACCACCTGCAGCTGCTGCAAAGGAAGCAAACAGAGTGTGTGAGAGCCCACGCCAGGGGCAGGGCCTGGGGCTTGGCCCTGCTTTCTGTGGGCACCTGAAGCCAGAGAGAATGCCAGCTAGTGGGTGCTCCTTCGCAGCCTCCAACCAGCCCTGTGTTTCAGGCTCCAGAGCCCACAGAGGCGAAGCGATTTGGTCAAGGTCACTGGCTGGCAGAAAGGACCATTGGCCCATCAACCAGGGTGGGTGGGGTCCCAGCTCAGGGGATCCTTTGCTGCTGTGGACTCTTGGCTAGGGGCAGGTGTCTGGGTGCCCCTGGCTGCGTGTGGCCTTCCATGCTGTGAGAGGATGGAGAGCTTTGGACACGAACCCTGGAGGGCAGCCAGCTCCCAACTAAGGCGGGGCCATGCAGGGGGCTGGTGTCACTGCCTGCTTCCCACGCGCTTACATGGTGCATTTCCAATGCCATTGCAAGCCCCTCGATTCCCTGGGAGGTTGGCACTGCCATCACCCCATTTCCACATGGGAAACGGAAGCCAAGGCAGCTGGTGTGACTCTCCACCAAGGGCGGGCTACAAGTGAGGGAGTCAGCATCGTGGTGCAGTGGGTCAAGCCTCACACCTGCGTCCCATGTGGTCACTGGCTTGAGTCCTGGCTGCTGCACTGCTGATCCAGCTCCCTGCTCATGTGCCTGAGAAAAGCGGTGGAAGACGGCCCTACTGCGTGGGCCTTTGACACCCGCATTTGAAACCTCAGATGAAATTCCTGATCCCTGGTTTCAACCTCGTCCAACCCTGGCTGTTACAGCCATTTGGGAAATGAACTAGCAGGTGGAGGATTTCTCTGCTTCTCTGTGTGTGACTTTACCATTCAAATAAATAAATAAGGATATATTTTAAAGTCAAGGAGCCAGGATAATAACCACCTAGACTGCGACCCGTTTACAAAACAGCATTCAATCCTCAAGAGAACCGTCCAGAAAGGCCAGTGTCAGCAATCATATTTCCCCACCTGGAGAACCCCACTGAGGGCAGAGGTGGTGAGTTCCCAAAGGCACACGGCTAGGGTCCAGCAGAGCACATCAGAGAGCAGGGAGGTTCACACAGGGCTGTGCTTGGTGGACCCCTCATTTCACCTGTGCTATCTTAAGGGTCTCCCAAGACGAGCCCTGCTCCTTATTTGGGGCAGTTCAACAGACAAGCTGATGCTTTCTCCCAGAAAAGCATCACAGCCAAGTCAACAGACTCCCCATGTGACTCTGTTACCTTTCGCCCTGCAGAGGCCGCCGGACCCAGCCTGGTGCCCACCGCGCTACGCCTGCAAGTGCTTCTGATCGGAACGTGAAGCTGGGCTTTCCCATGTCTGTGCCCTCAGGCCCAGTGCCACGGCTGCACGTCTCAACCACAGCACCAAATGGCAACATGGAGTTTAATTCTCAAGTGGGAAATTCACGTGCCCAAACCTCCAAGGCTTGAGTTTGCTGGAAACGCTCATTTTCAAGTCTCGAGAGCATTGGGATGGATGGAGAGTGTCAGGGATGCTGACAGGGCGTCTTGCCCCAGAGTGGGTGGGGGCAAAGCAGAGGTGGCCAGTGGTGGGCCGGGGGGGAGGCTGCACTCTTAAAAATGTGAACCAATTTAAAACCCAGTCTCGAGCCCTCCTGCTCCTGTGAGAACACAGCGGCAGGCACCGTCTTCCAGGACATGCTTCTTTCTTTAGACAACAAGGACTGCAGGAGGGGAAACAGTGGCATGCCAGGAGAACCGCAGGGCCTCCCAGCCTGGTCCCAGCTCACCCCCAGACTCAGGACTGTGCTTTGACTCCCATCGTGTTGCCTCCACTAGCCCCAGTTCCTGCTCCAGGGAGCTGGAGCCACCCTGTTCACTCCTGGTCTTGGGATCTTTAAAGCTCCAGTGTCATCAACAACTTTCAAAGTGTCCTGAATAGTTCTGTTTCTGTTTCCAGAGTGATCCGGGCTTGGGGAGCCCTGGCCACCTGGTCCCCTGCCCTGTCCCCACTCCAGCTGCTGACCTTAAAAAACTTGTCTATTTTGCTGAGGTTGATTCTTTTCTTGGCGTCCAGTTTGTAGATGTTACTGACGTTGCCATCCATCAGGTAGAGGCCAAAGCCCATTACCTGGAATAAGAAGGGGCAGAGGACAGACAGTCACACCTGCTGAAAAGGCAGAGGGGAGGGAAAGAGGGGAAAAGGGAGGGGAGGGTGGGGGGAAAGGAGGGGAGAGTGGAGACCCCTGCATGTGTGGGCACACCTTCCTTTCTCTGTGTAGACACACATTCTAGTACAATAGTCCACACTTCCTTGAATAAAACACAGGGCACTCCTATCGGATGCTTAGTACACTCCTGTGGTGGTCACCTGCTCTTCAGTCCTTTCTGAGGGCCTGAGCCCATTGCAGGGCCTTCGCGGGCAGCCACAGGGAGGAGACACAGTGAGCCAGAACAGGCTGTCCAAAGCACACAGCTAAATTGCCAAGACAGCATCTGAACGGGACTGACCAGGATCTGTCCACAAACCTTGCATTCATTTGTCTGGTGAGGACTACGTGGAAGATTCATTAAGGCCCACTTTGGCCAGGACTGGTCTGGGCTGGGTTGCACTGCACTGGTTTGGGCTGGCTGGGCTGGCTGGGCTGGACTGCATTGCACTGCACTGGGCTGGGCTGGACTGCACTGCACTGCACTGGGCTGGGCTGGGCTGAGCTGACAGGGCTGGGCTGGGCTGGGCTGACTGGGCTGGGCTGGGCTGGGCTAACTGGGCTGGCCTAGGCTGGGCTGGGTTGGACTGCACTGCACTGGGCTGGAGCTGAGCCAGGATCTCAATCTGGATCTCCCACGTGACTGATAGGGACACAATTACCTGAGCCATCACCACTACCTCCGACGGTGTACATTAGTAGGAAACTGTAATGTGGGCATTTCAACTGGCTTCTCAGCTGCTTTACTCTTTGTTGAATCCCTAGTGTGCCCTGGGGGCCAGAGGAAGGACCCAACTGGTTCTTGATTGGATATTTAAAATTAAAATACCCACCCCTCTCTTCAAAGGAACAACCACGAAAAAGTTCCTGAAGAGCCAACGGGGGCATCGTTTATGAAAACGAATCCCTTCCTGAAAGTGACCTGCACGTGGGTGAACACTGCTGATATCGCATTCATCGTAACCGTGTGACAGCATGCTTGCCACACTCCTCACACACAGCTGGAGGGGCCGAGCAGCCGTGGGGCCCCTTGACACACAGGGACTGCACTACCATTCCTTTCCTTCCAGTGCATTCTGCTCTGCAGGATGAGCAGGTCTTTTCCCTTGATGGGCATGGCGCCCCCTGGTGGCATACAGGCTCACATATGGGCTCCTGCGTGCCTGATGGGAAGGGAGTCAGAGAAGGTTGGCAAGTAAGGGTGTGTGAGGATGAAAGATGCGCAGGAGAGAACCCAGGGCGAATTTGCAAGCAGGATGGGAGACTTCTTGATGGGCTGCAGTTCACTAGCCAAGCAATAAATCTGAGGACAGCCAAGCAAGCAACCCAGGCTAGCACTAAGGTTGAGAGATGAGTGTCGGGGGAACTTCTCTGAATTTCTGATGGGCTGCAGGAAGCCAGAGTGAGCAATTCACGAAATCACACCACCCTGCAAGGCGCCATGGAGACAAAAAGAATAGCAACACAGGGCCGGGACGATTACACACCCGAGTAGCTTGAAGGAGAGGCAGTAACAAGGCGTTTGACGGGGACTTGGAAAGGGGGTTCTGGGCAAGTGTGTATGAAGGCTCCGGGGGGCCGGGGCGCAGCACTGCAGTGGAGTGCCTGGTTTGGGGCCTGAATCCACACTCCAGCTCGGGTACTTGGCTGCCTGGCAGCCCTGTGGGGGACCAGGACTGAGTCCAGGCTTCTGACCTTGGCCTGTTCAAGTCCTCATGGTGGCCATTTGGGGAATGGATCAGCAGATGGAAAGTCTCTGAATTTCGAACTACAATGTTTGAAAAATATAAGACTCTGGAGAAGCGGATGCATGTGAGTGCTGTAGCTAGCAGAGGTTAAGGACAAGCTAACGGCGACCACTAGAATGACGGCTAACGGAACGGAGACGCAACCATGTGGCCGTATTCCTGCCCGTATGATATCCCAGATTCACTGCTGACATGGATGGAAACCATATGCATTTGTTTTCAGTATATATTTTGAAAATAAGCACAGAATAAAATCAGCAGACACATATTGAAAATCTGAAGGTGTTATCACTGGATGAAAAGATAGAGATGGACTCTTTTTCTATGCTTTTCTGACTATTTCAGAGCTGCTACAATCACAAATACAACTTCACAACTCCTGAGTGAGACTGGTGGGCTCTGGAAAAAACTGTGACCCCTTTGGAAAAACAGTAGAAGCTTGAAGCTTCTGCCTCCAGTCTGAGTTGGGAATTTCTCTGCCCGTTTAACTTGACCAACAGAGTCACACAGTGGCTGCTCTACCACGGTGTTCGCTGCAGTTTGGGAAACAGATATCCAACAGCACGGGATGCGTTCAGCAGCAGTGTCCCCATGCAATGGGACACTCGGTAGCTGCTGAAAATTACACTGGAGGAATATTTTCGATGACACTTTCAAAGGGAACATGGCATAGTAAAGGAAAGAGGAAACTCAAAGGATTGTGCGTAGTAAGGTCCACAGGAACGTTTAAGTGAGAAAAAGAAGTACTACCTGTAAAATGCTTTCAAAAAGAAGGCAGCGAGAATGCAAGAGTGGGAGGGAACATTGGAGGAAGTGCATGCGGGGGCCGTGGGTGGAGGGCAGGCTGCAGGAAGGCAGGGCGGGGCGTGGGTGCAGGAAGGCAGGGCAGGGCGTGGGTGCGAAGGCAGGGCGGGGCGTGGGTGCGAAGGCAGGGCGGGGCGTGGGTGCGAGGGCAGGCCTGGGTGTGGGTGCGAGGGCAGGCCAGGGCGTGGGTGCGAGGGCAGGCCGGCTCTGGCTTGAGCTTACCTTGAGGAGCATGTGTTTCTCGCTGGGGGTCAGGTACATCTTATTCTCGTAGTAATCCACACAGATGTTGACAATGTCAGCCAGCAGCTCCTCGTAGCCTGGGATCACTTCCAGTTGCTGATGGAGACACTGCCCGGCCAGACCACCCTCCAGTTAGGTAGCGAGACCTTGTTGGGCACCACCACCGTGCCACCCGGGAAGGCCCCCAGCCGGGTAGTGGGTTCCCAGGGACTGGCCAGCCATCACAGCTGGCCCCAGGCAGACAGGAACCGGCGTGCTAACCTGCACCTGGCACCCAAGTCCTCTGTTTAGAGCCCTGACAGAGGCTGCTCGGAGCTGTTACATGCCTCCGCTGATGAGGAACTCACTCCAGACCCTGTGGAGTGCCCAGAGCAGGGAGGGAGGGCCCTGCAGCTGCTTCCTGGGAATGTGGGTCACCCCTCTGTAGTTAACAGAGTGCAGGAGACCCTGCCTCCCCTGGGCTCTGAACGCTCCCAGACGAGGCAGGCCCTCTCTATGCTGTGCAGCCCCTGTAGCATTCTTGCTGATTCCTGCTTAGCTGGCACCTGCAGAGACCCTGCTGGTCACACTGCCTCAGGTGGAACTGGAGGAGCCGACAAAGAGCGGGCAGGGAGTGACCACAGCCGTGCCTTCCTACATGCCTGTGGACTGGCAGGGTTTGAGCGCCAAGGGCTTTTCCCACAGTGCCTCACTGCTCGCCACAGGAGGCCTCCTTCAGAGCTCCAAACAGCAGACATTTTACAGAGAGGGAAGCTGAGGCTCGGACTTTGCCAGGGACCTCAACATGGGTCGGGGTGAAATAGAGTTAGAAAGGCAGCCCATCTAGCGCCTGACCACACACCCACAGCTTCTGCCTCGATGCGGGCCCAGAGCTGCTGGCTGAGGCTTTTAGAAGCCAAGGAATGAGAGGTGCAAAGGCCAGCTGCAGCGGGCAGCGGGGCCTGCAGCCTGATCTCAGTCTTGCGTGGGGCAGGGCCCATGCACTGACACTAAACACAGGTTAAGCGTGCTTGCTCGCACACAGGGCCCACCCCTTGCACCCCCGAACTGCTGAGCGCAGGATTAGCTTACCTGCGTGATCCTGTTGTGGTTGGCCAGGAACATGGAGAGGTTCTGTGACTCCTGGATGGACTGTGGATCTGCCATCTTCCTGAGGAACTGGGCTGCCCTGAAATGCAGAGGTCAGGTGAGGCCCAGGCAGCTGGCCCACCCCTTGCAAGCTCCTCTGTCCACCTAACCTAGGTGACACTGGCCCCTGAGGGAACAAGCTTTGAATGTCACGGGCCGCCCTAGTGGAAAAGGAGACAGATAGTGAACCCAACTCACTTGGGCTTGTTGACAGCCCTGTGATACCTGGACCCACATGACAAAGTCAAGAAAGCACTCACAACCTCCCTAACTCAGGCTTACAGGTTCAAGGGCAACCGGCGTCCTCTCACCCGGCCAGGAGTGCTAAGTCAGGTGGCGAGAGAAGCAGCCCTTGCTGGGGTCCCCAGGAAATTGTGCAAGGTGTTACACACAAGGGATCAAGACGGGGGCTTGCTCTTTGTTTCTGAAGCAAAGGACAGCCTAAGTCTAAGTAACCTTATAGGTCACCAGGCAACTCAAATGACAGAAACCAGACAGACAGGGAGACCCACATCTGTCTGCATGTCCCACCCAAGCCTGGCAGGGGAGTGGACTGCATCCCCATGAACCGTGACATGGACACGAGACACCTGCCTTGCTTAGGGCCTCTGCTGGTGTGGCCTTGATGGGAGCAGCTGACCACAAGTGGGGAGACTTTAGGGGAAGGAGTTATGCTCTGAGCTAGCAGCGAAATCTTGGGAAGTTGTCTTTCTTGTTCTTGCTCATCAGGGGAAGGGTTCTGTCTACTGGGCAGCAGAGCTGTAAGAGCTGGTCTATTATTTTTTCTAGTGACCACGGAGACCCAGGAGGGAGAGGTTCAGGGAGAACCTCTACTCCATCAGTGACAAGAAGTCCTGCCCGAGAGATGCACCCACTTGGAGCTTGCCTACAACTCAACCAATGCAGTCCACGTTTGCTGCCTAGACCGCACTGCCCTGCTTCAGAGTGGCTGCATCCCAACCTCTCGGCCACTCTCAGCCCTTCTTTCTTGTGAGCGCAGGGGCGGGCACTGCTTCCTCAGAGTGTCCAAACCATCCCTCCTGCCACCGTGACAGAGGGAGGGTTGGCATTTAGCACAGGGCCCAAGCTGCTCCCACTGGGAGTCTCACTGGAACTTCAGCAAACCTAGGTGGACAGAAGAGCATCTGTCCTTCCTCAGGAGCTGGAGCTGCTGCAGTGGCTGCCAGGACAGTCGGGCAGCTGCAGGCCACCAGGAAGGAGCCGCCTGAAGCTGATGGAGCACAAGAAACCAAGGCTAATGTCATCTGAGTACCCAGAATGCAGGCACCTGAGCCAGCTCATCTCCTTTGCCTCAAGCACCGTGAGAAGGTCTCCTAACACTTTCAGGAAAGCTGTCCCATAACCATCTATGACCATCTTTCTGCTCCCACAGGGCACAGGCAGCCCTGCTGCCCCAGCAGGGGAGAAAGGACAGTTTGATCTCATCTGAGCTCCACAGCTCTGCACAGATCAAGTTTTTCAGAGACCCAGCTCTGCCCTTATTCTCGAACCACACTGACATGGGCCCAAGCACCCTGCAGAAGGAGAGCAGAGAATGAACCCGAGAGCTGGGAAGCAGGACCTGCCTGGGGACAGGGAGGACAGGAGGGGCGCTGACCTCTTGTAGGCGGAGTGGTCATTCTTGACACTGCACTTCATGTTCTTCAGCTCGTCCAGGACGGCGAACATGTTGATGAACTTGCCCAGGGTCAGGAGGTAGGCCTCGGAGACAAAGTCCTTCCTGCGCTCGGCATGGCACAGCCGCTTCACCTCGCTGCAGAACCGCTCGATGGCCTTGCGCTGCAGGAGAGGGGCAGTGAGCAAGCACGGGCAGCTCACAGGGCCTGCTTACCATGCTCCCTGGTACAGGCAAGGTCAAGGCTCAGAGGGGTCCACATCATAGCCCGGACATTTAGAGAAGGGCAGATGGGTCTTTCAGTCCTTCTCAGAGAAGCCCTGCACCTGGAGCTGACTTCTAGAGGGGTGCCTGGGACCTACACCCACATGAGTCAAACCCAAGAACTGCTCTGTCCATGCCTGCATTCCATCATTCCTTGTTGGATTCTCAGCACCATGGATAGTGGCAGGCACCAACCATCAGGCAGGCTGAGAGACAGAAAGAGGGTCACTCAGGAGTAGCTACTCAGCGCCCACCACATGCCAGGAGACACAAGAGAAAAGATCCTCCCAAAAATTCTGCCCCAAAGAAGCCCATATTCCAGTGAGATGGGGCCATGTGACAGGTGCACTAGAGGAAAATAAAGAAGGAATGGGCCTGGTGGGAGGAGAATCAGAGGTCACCCAGAAGTGACTCACAGGAAAGGAGTTGGAATGAGGAAGAGAGGAGTGTGAGGACAAGAGGGGGGCGTGCCCACCAGGTGCACACATCCCAAGGTGCGTTTCAGCCCTGGGGAGGCTTCAGGGACAGTGGCTGCCGTCTAGGAACTGGGGTCAGGGTCAGCAGGGACCAGCGTCGTGGCTCTTGCACACCTTTGTGAAGGCTTGGGCTTTAGCACGCAGCAAATGGGAGGTTCTGAAGCAGGACAGACAGGATGGCCTGAACTCGACTGAAAAGGGGTCATGTGCTTCCTGTTGGGAGAACTGACTGTACAGAGCCAAGAGCAGAAGTGGGAGAGCAGCTAGGAGGCTACAACACGAAAGAAAGGAAAACCTCAGAAACTTGCATAAGCATGTTCAGGTTTGGATCATAATGGAAACAAACGTCTGTGAACTGATGGATAGGGAAATGGAGCATGGCATTTACATTCAGGAAACAGCTTTCAGTCTCAGAAAGGAATGAAATTGAGTGGCCTTTATACCAACGGACAGAAGGCAAACACCAAAGCAAACACTGTGCAACCACATTTCTGTGAAATACCCAGAACAAAAACACAGAAACGTCTGTGGTTGCCCAGGACTTGAGGTGAGAGGCGGTGAAGGACCTGGACAGCTGAGGGAGACAGACTTGCTTCTAAAATTGATCTTCGAGATGGATGCACAACTCGGTGAGTGCACCACAGCTGGCGAGCTGCCCACTACACATGCACGAATTCCACAGTGGGTGACCTCTTTCTTAACACATCGACTACTAATTCAGAAAAGCAAATGAACAGAAACAGTAAAAGGAGGTTACTGCAGCCCTCTAGAGAGAGTGAGCAAGAGAGAAGGTATGGAGAGAAGAAGGGAGAGGAGGGGAAGAGAATCGATTGCTTAGATGAGAGTGAGCCCCCCTCAGCAGCTGAGCACTGCCCCCCTTCAAAGACAGGCCACGTCACACTTCCTCCATGGAGTGTCCATCCCATGCCACTTTCTGCATGGACGGTGCCTATGCTGCTAGCAAGGCACCTGCTCATCTCCTGTGGCCACTTGAGATGTGCCCAGCACGACTGAGACATTGAATTTTCTGTCTGTCTGAACAGAAACAGCCCATGTAGCCAACAGCTACCATTCAGGCCACACTCCCGACCCTGACCCTCTCCTATAAACATCTCTTGCCAGGAGGGAAGCCTGCGGCTCAGTTTCTGGATAGCTTTTCCCTCATGAATCTGCCTCCCAGAGATGCTAAGCTCCTAGAAAACAGCTCTATGAAGCTGGCATGAATAGTGGCACCAAATCTCCAGGTGGCAGAGACGTTAAACACACAGGTGGGACTGGCATGGAAGCCTAGTTGCTAAAGTCCTCGCCTTGCATCCACTGGGGTCCCATATGGGTGCCAGTTCATGTCTAGCTGCTCCACTTCCCATCACGCTCCCTGTTTGTGGCCTGGAAAAGCACTGCAGGACGGCCCAAAGCTTTGGGACCCCAAGCCCACATGGGAGACCCAGAGGTGGCTCCTGGCTCCTGGCTTTGGATCAGTTCAGCTCTGGCTGGTTGTAGCCACCTGGGAAGTGAATCAATGGATGGAAGATTTTTCTTTCTGTATCTCTACTCTGCAAATCTGATTTTCCGATAAAAGTAAATAGATCTTAAAAACAAAAACAAAAAGGCACAGGCGCAGGTGAAAGAGGCACAACAGAGGTCTACCTTGGGTTTCTCAGCCTTTGCAGGCAACGCTCTTTGCTTAGGGCTGTGTGTGGCTTCCAGGGCACCTTCTCCCACTGTGCCACTTCTCACCTGTGGGCGCCAGCGTGGTACTGGGCACAGGGAGAACACTGACCCATGCCTGGGGTTCTAGTGACAAAGCTCAGTTCACAGCAGGACACGTTTAAGTCAGAGAGTATGTGACAGACGCTCACCCCAGGCTGCAGACTGGCCTTGCATTCACCCTGCACTACGCCCGCATGCTTCCTCGCTTACCCTCCCGTCCCGTCATTTCTGTCCCACCAGCATTCACAGAAGCCTCCTGTCCTCTTTTCCTTTTTATGAACAACCATGCTTCCAGGCCCGCAGTAGCTCCCCCTGCTCTTCACCCAACCATCTGCTGACCACAGCAGCCAGAGCACTGCTGCAAAACCTCAGCTCACATCACATCACTAAATGTCTCCCCTGGCCTCCTGTGGCACATGAATAACATCAGTGCCCTACAGGATGAGGTCCCTGCCTCTCTCTCCAATCTTACTGAAAAATGTCTAGGGACTGGGGGCAGGCGACGTGGCCTGGCGGCTAAAGTCCTTGCCTTGCATACGCTGGGATCCATATGGGTGCCGGTTCTAATCCCGGCAGCTCCACTTCCCATCCAGCTCCCTGCTTGTGGCCTGGGAAAGCAGTCGAGGATGGCCCAAAGCCTTGGGACCTTGCACCCGTGTGGGAGACCTGGAAGAAGTTCCTGGATCCTGGCTTCGGATCGGCATAGCATCGGCCGTTGTGCTCACTTGGGGAGTGAATCATTGGACGGAAGATCTTTCTCACTGTCTCTCCTCCTCTCTGTGTATCAGACTTTCCAATAAAAATAAATGCATCTTTTAAAAAAAATGCCTAGGGACTGGCACAATAGCTGGCTAATCCTCAACCTGCCAGCACTAACATCCCATATGAGCACTGGTTCATGTTCTGGCTGTTCCATTTCCAATCCAGTTTCCTGCTTATAACCTGGGAAAAGCAGTGTACAACAGTGCAAGCCTTTGGGATCCTACACATATGTGGGAGACTTGGAATAAGCTCCTGGCTTCAAATTGGCACAGCTCCAGCTGCTGTGGCTACTTGGGAAGTGAACCAGCAGATGAAAGATCTTTCTCTTGGTCTCTCCTTCTCTCTGTATAGCTATTTTTTCAATAGAAATAAGTTTTTTTTTAAAAGAAAATTTCCAAAAATTTATTTAAGTTCATTTTACTTGAGAGAGAGAGAGAGAGAGAGAGAGAGAGAGAGAGAGAGAGAGAGAGAGAGGAGTGTGCCAGTTTCCCATCTGCAGTTCTACTCCCCAAATGCCCACAAGAGCCATGGCTGTGTCAGGTCAAGGACAGAAACTCCATCCAGTCCCCGATATTGGCGGCAGCCACTCAACCACTCGAGCCACTGCTGCTGCCTTACAAGGCACACCTCAGCAGGAAGCTGGAATTGGAAGCGGAGGCGAGACTCAATGTCAGGCAGCTAAACACAGGATGTGGACGCCCAAAGCAGGGTCTGACTGAACAGTCTCCGGTGTCACCCTTTACCACCAACCCCTTGTCACCACCCCGTGGCCTTCATGGCTTCCTTGCATTTCTTCAACATGCCAGGTTCCTTTGGACCCCTGAGCCTCGGTCTTTCTCCTGACCATCACATGTTGGCCTCCCTCAATGCATAGATCCCAGTTCCCACACTGCCTCCAGATGGGGTCTTCCCCAAGCAGGGCCCACCCACATAACATAACTCCTTTTAAAGATTACCTTCACTCACAGCACTTACCATGGAGTATTTCCCCCTGCTCAAATACACTCATAAACTCACTGGGCTGTATATGACATGATCAGAACACCTGTCTGTCTTGCTCTCCCCGGAGTGTGCAGGATGTAATAAAGATATTTGCTAAATGAATCAATAACGGGGTACAAAGTAGCAGACCCCAGCATCAAGAAGCATCTGCAGGTGCAGACCCAGCCTGCACCTCTCACCTGAAAGTACATGAACTTCATGAGCTTTGTGACCTCCGGCTCCAGCACCTCCACCGTCTTCTCATAGATCTCCACCCGGTTGGGCTGCTCGTTGCATTTCACCTGGGAAGCACAAAAGGGACACTCGCACACCTTGCTTTGCACAGTCACAGTTTAATACCTCGAGTTACAGCAATGGGGCCTTTTCCACCCTCCTTCTGGCTGGTAATGACGTCCTCAGCTTTGGGAGAAGAGAGGACAGAAGTGTGCCCTAGGACTGACTGCAGAAAAGGAACCAGAACCCTCCTCCCCTTTTTGGCTCTGTTCCCTGACCATGTACACACATCCATATCTGTGCTACTCTGCAAGATCTTGCTCTTCCAAGCTTTGCACTATTGCTGCTGATTGGGGGTGGCCAGGCTCCCTGCAGAGAACGTCTGTCTACTGCTCCGGGCAGGCCTGGCAGAGCTCCCCTAGCCATCCCATACCAACCCATACCAACGTTGGCCGATGTAAGTTGTGAACCCATTTACTCTGGCACTTGGTGATGCTCTTGCAACATCAAGACTGCTCGAGGAGTCGGAAGAGGGGTGCAGGTGAGTGCAAGGACTCCTCAGGCTGCTACCCACAAATTCTTAAAACAGTAGCAATACCCAGTGAATACTCATTCATTCAGTGATTAAATAGGGAAAAGATCATACAGCCACACAACATCATTAGGAACTACTAGAAAGAATCAGGTTTATGTGCACTAATATGAAAAAGGCAGCCACAGAACAGTAACCGTCATCAGGTCTTATGTTTGTTAAGCAGAACCAAACAATGTGTGTGCATTTATATACAATAGAGAATTTGTAAAGACTGCAAACCAAGCTGTTGATAGCAGCTGCCTCGGAAGAGTGGGATCAGGACGAAGGGGACAGAAGGTTTCTGCTTACTTTACACACCTGTGGTTTGTTGGTTGTTTAACAATGGAATCCATTGATGTTATGATAGTGACAATGACGGTAATAAAAGAAACTACGCCAACACAAAAACGTCCGTAATTAAGTAGAAATAGGTAATAAAATACTATAAATAAGAAACAACCCACTAGTAAAGTGATAAAAATGGACAAAAGGCCACTCTTGCCAGGGTTAAGATCAGAAGATGCTGCTGCGAAGTGCTGATGGTGGTTACGCTGTGGCGGGAGGTGGGTCGGCCATGGTCACCTTCTCTTTGACTTTACACTCTTGTGCCATGGTTTGTGCATCACACAGTGAGCATGCATTGTTGTTGAGTGGCAACATGTGGAAAATGTTTTTCCAGTGCCTGGGCAAGGGTGCCTATCATCAGTTTTAAAGGAAGCTCTCTGAATAGCATCCGTGTGGGTCAACAGGCCGTGCTTCAGTCTCTGTCACCCAGAGAAGTTCAGCTCTCTGGGAAGGGTGCTCAGACTCCACGTGGGTGCGACGCGGGGCAAGGACGGCCTCACCTGGGGGATGGCCCGGGAGCAGCTGCGCCAGGTGTACAGCATGACCGCGTACTCGTGACCTTCCTCCAGCATTTCATTCTGAAATAGCAAAAACACCCTGAGCAGGGAGCAATGATGCCAGCTCGCCTGTGCTTCTCCAAGCAGCATCCTCTGTTGGGCGTACTGGAAATGCAGAGTCTCGGGCCCCTTCCTGGGCCTACAACATGAGGACCCTGGAAGTGTTAGAAAGAAAATCTGCAGCAAGAGAGTATGTTCAGTAGACAAGTCAACAAACAGAAATCATTATAAACGCATATTGTTACACAGTGGAAAAAAATGTTGGTAGGATATGCCAACTAAGAACAAGTTTTCTGAGGTTGGATTAATCTCTATCAATATATACAGTTTAGAACTATGACAGTACCAGTACACATGATCTACGCCATTGTGTACAGTAACACAATGTTCGCACTTCTATAAGAGCCTTTGTTACTAGGAAGGTATTTCAACATTCGTGGAAAAAATTAACTTGAAATATGTTTATTTTGGTGCAAAATGTGAAATCCAAGCACAATGTATATCATGCCAAAGCATTTCCACACACTTTTTGAAGAAGCCTTCAGATCCCATAAGCAGGAAAACAGTTAATATTAATTTTTAAAAATAACAGGCAGAGCAGATGGGGAAACTGGCAACAGTACGAATCAGAACCAGGAGAGGGCAGAGATGACTCACGCATGGGGTGCCGGGATCTGTGGAGACAGCCTGAAACTCCAAGCCCAGATAAGTGGGCTCAAGTCCCAGCTGCTTCACTTACTAGCTCTTCAGGCTACAGTCAATCGCATGTCCTAAAACTTGCCATTTGCTCATCTATTAAAGCACGATGATGCTAATCCTCTCCTAGAACGTCATGAGAATAGGAGACACATGAATGTGTACTAAGCGATCTATAAAGCACATTATGAAAACAGCCAGTCCTGGAGCTCCCACTTCACACAGCCAGTCACTCTACTCCTAGTTATGTATCCACAAGAACTGAATTCCTACGTCCACACAGAAACTTGGGGGAAGTTAAGATTTGCTTATAGCACGGATCTCTGCACTGGCATTATTCACAGTGATCCCAGAATTACGATAACTCACATGCCTATCAACTGACAGATGGTAACTGGTCTATCCACACAATGGAATCTTACTTATCTAAGAAAAGACTGAAGTATCGGCATACGCAGCACCATAGATGAACCCTGAAAACATACTAGTGACAGGCCACATGTTTTTAGCATATGTGCTGCCAAAGAGAATGCAATAGACCACATACTGGGTGTTTTGTGCAGACGAAATATCCAAAATAGGTAAATGCATACAGACAGAAAGCATAACAACAGTTGCAAGGGAATGTGGAGAGAGAGGAACTGGGAGTGACTGCTAACAGGTCTAGGGCATTTCCCTGGGTGACGGAAACCCATGATGGCAATGGTTGCACAACACTGTGCATGTGTTTAAAAGCTGCTGAGCTGTACGCTTTGAGTGGCTCCACGTTACAGAGTGTACATCAAAAACATAACAGAAACACTATGTGGCCATTTCTCTTTATAAACATTTGCACTACAGAAAAGTTTATCAGTAATGATTTCTTTTTAAGTGCACCTCTCCCATCCACTTCATAATATCTTATCAGCTTGCAATAAGATTTAGTTTAGAGTTTATTGCTTATTACAGTCTGTTTCCAAAGCAAATGTCATGGCCAAGTGACATTTCTAATTCTTAGAGATCTTTTAAAATCAGTAACATTTTGTCCTTGACACCACAGAGAACCAAGATCAGGCCTGTGGGTGTCCTGCCGTTCATGACAAGGAGCAAAGCGACAGCGACGCAGGGCGTTTTAAGATGTGCTTACGACAGATGTGCACTTCGGCAGCACTGACTGATAAGGAATTACCCTTTTATCCAGTGCACGGACTGGGCAGCTCTGGCAGGCTGAGCATATGTGTGGACCAACTCAGGGCTCTCTTTTCTGCTCTGCTGCCCTATGTGCCAGTTTTTATTGCCAGCACTGTGCTGCTTTAGCTTTGTTACAGCTTTGTAGTATACTATGAAATTAAATATTATAATTCCTCCACCCTGTTTTTTGCTTTGTGTTTTGCTAAAGGATCACTTGGGTTTTTCTGGCTTTTTTGTGATTCCATGTCAATTCAGTAACGAAAGCCACTGTTATTTTGATAGAGACTGTATTAATATATGGATTACTGTAGATAGTCGAGGCATTCTATCAAATTTTCTTATCCCTGTGTGAGAGATCTCTTTCTGTGTTTGTATTCTTGGTGATTTCTTTCGTCAATGCTTTATAATTTTCATAGTAGAGACCCCTCACTGATTTCATTAAATGTATCCTGAACTATTTTGCTTGTTTATGGCTAGTGTGAATGAGATTTCCTTCTTGGGGATTTTTATAAAGATTTACTTAAATGAGTTACAGAAAGAGAGGGAAAGAAAGAGAAAGATCTTCCGTCCACTGGTTCTCTCTCCAAATGGGCACAATGGCTAGAGCTGGGCAGGTCTGAAGCTGGGAGAGAGGAAACTTCCAGGCTTCCCGTGTGCTTGCAGGAGCCCAATGCCTTAGGCCATCCTCCACCCCTGTCTCAGGGCATTAGCAGAGAGCTGGACTGGAAGTGGAGCAGCCAGGACTTGAACCGGTGCCTTTAAAGAGATGTTGGCACCACAGGCAGCAGTTAGCCTCCTATGCCACTGGGCCAGCCCCCTCCTGATAAATTTTTTCTTTCAAAACTCAATCTGAACACAGAATGTTCATTACTAGAGGCTGAGAGGGATGAAAGGGATAAACACAGTTTTTATTACAAAAATACAGGGAGCTGGACAAATATATCATGAGATGTTAAGAGGGAAACTGGGTGAGCAATATAGGGAAGCTTGTTACCGTACTACTTCACAATGTTTGTTTTGTAAATTTAAAATTAGTAGTCATAATAATGAAATGTGGTACTCAGTACAAACATGGCCATTGGTGGGCCCCAATCCAAATCAACTGGCACCTTCCTAAGAGCAGGGAATTCGGAGAGAGATGGGTACCAGAGAATTACGTGACGGATCAGTAAGGTGTGGCCATCTGCAGGTAGTGCAGAGGGTTGGGGGACAGATGTGCCGATGCCTGTGCCGATGCCCGGCTCTTGGACTTCCACTCTCCAGAACTGAGAGGGAATACACTTCTGCAGTGCCCAGTCCACGGCGTCCTGGTATACCCAGGTACTAAGCCTTATTTGATTTTCCAGAATTACCACAGGCAAGTGTTCTCTATGTACCTTTCGCTCCACACCTGGAAGTCCCTGCACTTTCTTTCCCCTCTGCTTCCCCATGTTCCCTCCCCTAGTCTGCCCTCCCCACCTCAGCTCTGCTACATTCTCAGTATATAAGACACAAGAGTACAGCAGAGGGAGAGCAGGCTGAGGAACAACCCTGAAGTTTGGGCCCTAGATTGATTTAGTAGTTGTGGGATCATGAGCAACTTGCATATTGATTCCTCAATTTTCCCATTCCTCAAATGGGTTTAAATGATCCCTTGGCAAGTCCCAGGACTGTGACAGCACTGATGAGATCATGATGAGGAACTCTTCTATCCACTTGGGAATGTGATGTCCATGGCAGGCATCCCTATTCTCTTCCAAGGCCCAAAGCACCTCCCTCGTCAACCTGGGCTCCCCTGCCCCAAACGCCCCTTAAAAACACAGAGCTTTGAACCGTGATCATGATACCCTTCACGCATTTTGATTTGTCTACAAAGAGTGGTCTAGAGCAAAGGTTTTGTTGTCAGATAGACCTGGGTTTTGCAGTGTCACGCATAAGTGGCAGGCCCCTGCACATACTCCTTTGGTTGTGCTCATCCATGAAATGCACAATAATAATGATGGCTACCTCACAGGATTTGTATGAGGACTAAATAGACAATGACGAAGACAGCTGCACGGGAGAAGGTGCATGGTAAACAGCAAGCTTGTCTATTTCCCCTTTCTCTTATGGAGAATTCAGACAGCTATACCTTTGTGACTTTGTGGACCGGTCCAGCGGTCAAACAGCCGTATGGCTCAAGAGCCACTGAAGGAATGAACTGTATTTATTCAAAACTCCAGTGAGAAGGATCTAAGGAGTCACAGGCAGAGCCATGAGCGAGGAAGTTGGAATTCTTCAAATTCCAGTGCTGTCCAGGAATAGAATCAAAGGCCTCCCGAGAGGGCAGGGGATGATTCTGCACAGAACGGTGACGCACGCTAGATGGTGGTTCCACTCACCTGCGTCCACTTGTGAGTGGTTCAGGCCAACAGCTTCCTCTGGTCCATCAGTGTCACGCCCAAGCTGAAGCTACACTCCCTTCCCTGAAGAAGGTTTTGCTACGCTCTAGAGACAAAATTCTACTCTCTGGTCATTTACTGTGTTCTAATCAATTCATTCTCAAAGCTACAGATACTCAGGGAAATGAGTGGATGAGGTTGGACCCTCACAAGGACCAGGATTTGAGCACCCAGTGTGCCAGTGTGTCAGTGTGCCCCCTGTCCCTGAGAGGAGATGGAGCTGGGCAGGGGGTGAGCTCAAGCAGCGGGGTCTGAATGGGGTGGGGTGTCGGGTACGTGTGTCCCACAGGAGCAGCTGCTCCCGAGCCCTACCCTCCCCCAGAAGGGGGCGGTCCACACTCACGGGTCACAGTGACTTACCATGCTGGAGTGCACCGTCGCCTGCTCAATGTACCTTGCAATGCCCGTGACAAACGCATTCCTGTCCTCAAAGTTGGTGTCAAAGTTAGCCTGTGGAATGACAAAGATAAGGGTAGTTGGTCGCTAGAAAACAGATCCAAGGTGGCTGGCTGGGTGGCTGGGGAGCAAACAGCTGCCTACCATCACAAGCTCCCTGCAAAAACTGATTGCCCTGTCCCCTCTTATTTCATACCTAACCCTAACTCCTGCACAGGAGCAGGCTGATGACAGCACCAGCCCCCTCACCCAAGGCCGTCAGTAACAAGGCTCGCTCAGCAGAGCCTGCGAAGGAAATGCTTCAGCCACATGTGACCGTGACCGAGTAGCTGCTGAAAGGCAGGGCCACATTCCTTCGGCCCAGCAAATGCACAGGTACAAGAATGATCACTGTGGCTTTCTTGTGTGATCCAAAACAAACAAAAAACAAGTGCAAACAAACCAAATGTCCATCATCAGTAATAGGCTAAGTACATAGGAATAACCACTCATGATGTGATTAAGTATAATGTTGCAGTACTATAGCTTTGTCACGGCAAAACAGCCATAACAAGTTTTAAATTCAAAAGACAACTCACGGATCAATACATCTAACTTCCTTTTGGTAAAAACCCATATACGCATGCACATTTGAGACAAAGTAGAGGGGAGAGGGAACCTTTAAGTATACTTCTATGTTTGACTTTTTATTTCTACTTGTCTGAATTAATGTAAGACATTCATACAACCAAGAAATGAGTCCAAGTTAGAAGATGTTAATAGGCCAAGTTTACCAACTGAACTTTTAAGCAGGTGCTTAATAAATCTAATCACAGAGTAAATCTGAAAGTATACAGTGACTTACATTGGGGTTTACTTAGTCTAAGAACTTTCAGAAGGTCAAATTCAACGACAACAAACAAATCAAGTTAACACATTCCTCCTTCCACGGCCTACTCGACTGGCACGTCCAGCCAGGGGTTATCTGCAGGGCTGGCTTCGGCATGTCCGCCCCACTGCCTCCCCACACACTGATGGGATCCCGGCATTGAGCAAAGGATGCTGTTTTCTCTACCACAAGAGCTCATCTTCAGCCAAAGCAAGCAACTGTGCTGACTTCTCCAGGCCAGCACTCCTCTCATATACATGAAGGGAAAGCCATTACCCAGGCAGGCTCCAGAGGCTTCTAAATTGCAATATTTTATTCATAAGGTCAGAGCTGCCAAAGCCTTGATTAGCGCGGCCGCAAGAACCATCGGGAAGGTAATCGGGGTCAAAACAGATCAACAAGCCCTCCCTGGGGGCAGGGCAGGGATGCTGGTGAGCATTGACCAGCTCATCTCAGCTCCGGGAGGGTGCAGGGACTCCATCAGCCCGTGACCTTTCACCTCCTGGAAGCGACCTTTCCCTTCTCTAGACCTTCAGGGCACGACCTTCCAGGAAGCTCAGAGGTGTTGTGCCAAGTGCGTTACCTGGTACATGATGGAGGAAGGCGGAGGCTCGATGCATGGCTGCTGGTCGGGGAGGGGCAGCTCTTCCAGCAGGTCCACGTTGGACAAGGCATCTTCCAGCGTCACGTGGGTGGTCATGGTGGCAGCTTCTGTACTCCACACTAAGGGGAAGAAAGAGGAGGAGTCTGGAGAATCTCAAAGACCTCCACATTTTTCTCTCCTCCTTGCCCTGTCCCAACTCCTTGTAGAGAATAAAAGGGGTTAATAGGCAGGCATGCCAATTTGGCACAAGGTGCCCCACATCTGCACCTTTCAGATTTGAAGATCTCTTCATAGTCGATCAAGTACTTTGTGTCCGTGACCCCTCCTGGGTCTCAGCACAGAACTCTCAAGCCTACAGGCCAGGATAAACTCTCTCCACGTGACAGCTGAGGAGACATGGCTCCGAGAACTGCCATGACACCCAGACAGCGCTAAGGGATCACAGCAGGTGCTGCATGCCAGGTCATGGATCATGTTTAGTCCTCCTCATCCTTCCATGCTGACAGGGTATTTATCAGATCTGTCCCTGTGTTATTACAGAGCACAAACTCCTACAGTCGCAACAACCAAGACATTCAAGCAGAAACCAGATAATGGGTTTCATAGATAAAGGAAGCTGAGACTTGAAGAAACCAGTTCTCATGAATCAAAAAGGGAAGAGCTGGTGTCCTCCTTGGCCTGGGTATCTTCTCCAAGCCCTAGCATGCACATCACCCTGAAGTGGACCCCTCTGTGTCCTGGACCCAGGAGGAGTGCAGCTGCTTGCACTGTGACTCTGCTGGCAGCAGGGCTGAGGAGGACATGAACAGTCAGGTACTCAACTCTCCGTCACGTGCTGTTAACTACTCACTTTCCAGGGAACAGAGCATTGACGTGTTTTTTAAGAAAATTGTTTCTTGCAATATTTATTCTTATTTGAAACACAGATTTATAGGGAAGAGAGACAGACAGAGATCTTCCATCTGCTGGTTTACTCCTCAAACGGCCACAATGGCCTGAGCTAGGCTGATCTGCAGTGAAGAGCATCTTCCTGGTCTCCCATGTGGGTGCAGGAGCCCAAGGACATGGGCCATCCTCCACTGTTTTCTCAGGCCATAAGCAGGGAGCTGGATGGGAAGTGGAGCAGCCAGGACATGAATGGGCACCCACATGGGATGCCAGCACTCCAGGTGGCAGATGAAATGGCTATGCTGGGGCTGGCATGATGGTTCAGTGGCTAAAATCCTCACCTTGAAGAACTGGGATCCCATATGGGTGCTGGTTTGTGTCCTGGCTGCTCCACTTCCCATCCAGCTCCCTGTTTGTGGCCTGAGAAGGCAGTGGAGGATGGCCCAAGGCCTTGGGACCCTGCACCCACATGAGAGACTTGGAAGAAGCTGCTGGCTCGAGGCTTCAGATCGACTGAGTTCTGGCTGTTACAGCCACTTGGGGAGTGAACCATCGGATGCAAGATCTTTGTCTTTCCTTCTCTCTGTAAATCTGCCTTTCCAATAACAATGAACAAATCTTTAGAAAAAAAATTGCTGTGCCACCATGCTGACCCCAGAATACTCTCCCATCCCTTTTTTTTTTCTTAACTAAGACATCTGAAATTCAGGTCACAAAATAGCTTTTCACTAATTTCCTTGATAAATGTTACCCCAGAAGGCACTTTCACTGATTGCAATGTGATGAAATCAGAATCAATAATGCAAATTGCAGCAAACTCCATGTCCTTAAAAATTTATGAAACACACTTCAAGGTTACTCACAGGTGAGCAATTTAAAGAGAAATGATAAAATATTTAGAATTAAAAGACCATTCAGCAATAGCTTAACTGCATTTAGTAGAACATAAGAAGGGTGGAACTTAATGAATCTAAAATTATATTCAAACACCTAAACAAAGAGCACAAAATAACCCAAAGAAATCAAAGATGATCATTATAAAAACAGAGGTACATGCAGGAAAGGACAAAGCAAAATAACAGAAACAGTAAAGATGAACCAAATTCAAATCTAACTTGCATAAAAAGATTTCTAAAGCTAACCCTTTAACACGCACGAGTAACAAGCGAAAGGGCCACTGTGCTGGTGCAAAACCACTCCCTGCCCACCCCACAGAAAGAGCAGGTGGGAGCCAAGCTTGGCCAGTGAGCTAGGGAAAATCGCATTAGCCACTGCAGGGGAAAAGACCTGCTGAGGTGGGAAGCTGGTGTGGGACTGCACAGGGGCAACACCATTGCAGGGTACCGCCAAGGTCACACTGTAACTTCCTCTCCACCCAAGGTTAGGAGGGCAGATGGGAACTGAGCCTTCACCAGCTGCCCACTGAGTTCTCAAACACACCTTTCAGTCCTGAGGCTGGGAGGCACGCCAAAGCCACGTCCAATAAGGACACGGCATGCCCGCGGGCTCCCTCCCTCCACCCCTCCTCGGCAGGGCTTTCAGGATGTCTTTGTTATCTAAGCTTCTTCCTCCTTTCGTCCCAGAATTCTAAGTGTGGCATTCAGATCTGCAGCCCAGCCACTTTCCCAGTCCATGCAAATAACAGCCTCTCTTCTCAGGAAAGCATTGGGTCTGTTCTACAGGAAGCGTTAATGATTTCACACACTATGACCTAGAAGCTGGAGAGTCTTAATAATTCTCATTAACACAAACAGTAAGCAGACAACAAACATTTCCTTAGCCTTTACCTTGTGTCAGGCACTTTGTCAAGCCCTGAACTGCTTTAGCCTAGCATCAAGTCTCATCAAGGCAAGCACTGTAGTCATTCTTTACAAATGAACACACACACACACACACACACACGTTCACAAGGATCAAGATCTGGCAAGTAGTAGAGTGGGGGCCCAGGGGGGTCACAATCCAGCCTTGTGCAGCTCCACATCCAACAGTCCTTTCCTTTGCAATATATGTCTTATAAGCTCTTGGACCCACCCTGTACGGTTATGCTTAATGACTATGAGGTCTGCCTCACACCCAGCTTGGTAGTAGGTATTTTCAAGCTCTCTGCGTTAGAGGCTTTGGGTTCAACTTGTGCCATAGATTCAAGTGCTCAACTTAAACACCACGGCTTGGGCCCGGCGGTTCTAATCCCGGCAGCTCCACTTCCCATCCAGCTCCCTGCCTGTGGCCTGGGAAAGCAGTCAAGGACGGCCCAAAGCCTTGGACCCTGCACCCGCATGGGAGACCTGGAGGAAGTTCCTGGATCCTGGCTTCAGATAGGCATAGCATCGGCCGTTGCGCTCACTTGGGGAGTGTGTCATCAGACAGAATATCTTTCTCTCTGTCTCTCCTCCTCTCTGTATATCTGACTTTCCAATAAATAAATAAACCCTTAAAAAAAAAAAAACAAAATACACCACGGCTCCAATCAGAAAACCAGGAAGACGCTTTTCAAACCAAGTGTCCTTCTCCACTTGCTGCAAGAGAAATGCAAATTAAAGTTAAGCTTCTCACCGACTGGACTAGAAAAACCCAGAACTTTCACCATACCTACTTTTGGCAAGGCTGTCACAAATGGGGTGGTAAAATGGCACAACCTTAATGGGAGAAAATCTACAAACTTTCACTTTACCCTTTCCCCAGGAATCTAGGACTGTCCTAAAGATGCACTGACAAAACATGCAGCAAGACCCAGTCACAAGGCCATTCATGCCGCTACCACGTATAACAGCAAGACTGGGTAGGGATCACCAACGCCCATCAGCGGAGTCTGGACAAACTATAGCACCCCCTAGAGGGAAGTGTCTGGCAACTGCAACGCAGAGCCAGGAATCTCCCCACATCCCACTAAGGGCTCCTTTCCAGGGTTGGGTCTGCACAGGATGTGCTCACTTACCTAAGCGGGGAGGAGTTTCAAGTACATGTGCAGGCATGTGTGTGAGCATGCGCGCGCACACACACGGCTTCTGCCAAAGAAGCAACGGAACACAAACTAGGCACTTTGAAATATTGGTTACCTGTGCAGAAGGAGGGAAAGTCAAGGACAGGGTAAAGGTAGAAGCAATAGAGGCTAGAATTCTTTGAATATACTTCGCTGGGCTCGCTTTGGCAGCGCATATGCTAAAACTGGAATGAATATACTTTGTTTTGGGGATTTGACTGTAGTTCATAAAAGTATCTTATAGAATTACACAACTTTTAATTTGGTGTGTACCAGCAATGTTGGGGCACACTTAAATAACATAGCGATGGAATCATGACTCCTTATGAAAGAGTAACAACACAGGGAAAATCAGGGGGTGGGAATTTGTGTGTGGGGGGGTAGTCCCAGATTCTATGAAATTGTACCATAAAATTTAAAAAAATTTTTAAAAAGACTTAAAATTTTTAATTTGAAAAGTAATCTTTCCAACAAAAAGTAAAATAAAATTCAACCTAAGGATATGTGCATGTTTTAGCTGTCGGATTAATTGCTCAGAAACAAATTACTGGGGCTGGTCCTACAGTGCGTGCTACAGGCAGTTTGTAGGAAGAAACAGCACATTTAGATAAGGAAGGGCAGGGCGGACTGTGCCTGGAATCCGGAGTTCACAAATGCAGCTGCCAGAACCAAAGTCAAACTCCACGGGCAATGGTCCATGAGAAGACAAAAGTCCGAGACCAAAGTTGAAGCCTGCAAGCAAGGGTGCACTCTTGAGCAACAGTTCAAGGCCACACCACTGTGTACTTCAAGATATCCTTGAGATGACCATGTTCTGACTTCTAGACTTGGGTTACCCAGTAGCTTCCTGCTCATCAAGCACTGGATGGCTAACATCAATATAGAATGTAGCTACATTTTTGCCACATCAACCCCTATAATTTGATTCCTCAAACAGTTCAATAAAAGATGGAGGCAGCAAGCCTTCTAGGTGGACGTTTCTCCATAGGAGCTTCCCTCTGGCTGCCTGCTTCAGTAGCCTTGTGTCTGCCTCATCTCTTATTCTCTCAATTGCACGTCATCTCTCTCTAACCCTAGTCATGCTGCTTGGAGAAGAATCACCTAGAGTGAATAGCGATTGCTACAGATCAGCTAAGACAGACAATGTAATAGGACCAACCATGAACTCTGCCAAAGTGCCAGTTCAGGTGAGGCTCTTGGAAGCTGAGTTGGCCTGTTGAATGTTATTGTGTGTTTTAGGGCATGCCGACC